CGGCCAAAAAATTTTTTGGGGGGGTTTTTTTTGTTTTCCCCCCCCCTTTGGGAAATTTTGTTGTGGTTTTTTTTGGGGGGAAAAAGCCCCCCCCCCCCCCCCCCCCCCCGCCCGGCCCTCCGTGCGATTTGGTTCATCTTGCTCCTCCTCGCGGTTGACTTGAAACGAATGGTTGTTCAGCCTGATAGGTGGATCAGAGACGAAGGAGAGGCAGACCTCGTGTTCGAGTGCCTCCACCGTTCCGAGGACCCCGTTGCGGCCTGCCGAGCCATCGACGCGATCTGCTCGGGTATGAGCGACCCCCGCTTCGCGCTCCGCCTCCCCTCCTGCCGGCCCCGTTCAACGGCCACTGGCGGCGGCGGCGGCGGCGGCGGCGGCGGCGTGCCATCCACAACCACTGTACCACCGCCGCTCGACGATGACACCCCACTGGTACCCGTCACGATGCTGTTCAGTAGGGTGTTCTCTCTGTTGGATGGCTTGGACTGCTGGCGGCTGATGTCCCCCCAGCTCCGGCGGCTGATCTCGTTGAATCCGAGCGCGTTCGCCGGCGCCGTGATCGCCAGGGCAGCCATCCATTCCTCACGGTCGGGAGGCGGCGGCGGCGGCGGCGGCGGCGGCGACGGTGGGATAGATGTTGGGGGATCGTCGCGCCGGGATGGGAAGGGCGGCATGCCGGCGACGGCAGCGCGTTGTCGTCGTCATCGTCATCGTCGTCGTCGGCGTCGTCGGCGCCGTCTTCACCGTGCTCATCGCCTGCTTCGTGCGGACAGCCGGCGAGCAAGAGACCCTGCTTTGCCCTCGCGGGGGACAAGATGACGAGCTTGAACCCGCCCGCCGAAGGCAAGAAAAGTGGAGTCGACAGCAGCAGCGGCTTGGCCGCCGCCGCCGCCGCCGCCGGTGTGTCGGCCGACTCGTGGCGAGCGGTCGCCGGGGACGTGCTCGCGAGCGCTATGCCAGAGGTGGCTCGCGGGCGCATGCAGGGCGTGCGGGGCTGTTGCGCCGTGGTGGACCGGTCTTGCTCCTCCGGAGCCGTTCTGGGGTGCGATGCGGCGTACTCCCCGCTGCCGCTGATGGTGAGAGCCTTGCAGGACATCGCGGGCGACATCGCTGCCGCGCGCATGGTCCGGGACACGTTCTCGTGGGTAGTTCGCGGCGAGCGGGACCTCGAGGAGGCGCCGGGCGCGACGCTTGCAGAGCGGGAGCGCAGGCTGGACCAGCTCGGTAGCCTCGTGTGGACCCTGGGCGACCTTCGGCGGTCCCTTTCGCTGCACGGTGAAGGTGCGGGGAAGTCGGAGGCTGCGACGGGCGCTGGTGGTGCCGTCGCAAGTGGTGACGACGGTAGTGGTGGTGGTGGCGCTTCGTTGATGCGCGTGGTTGTTGAGCAGATGGAGGTGCACCTTGTTGGGGTGTTGGACACGGCTGCGTCTATGCCGCTGCCGGAGTGCCCGTTCCCGTCGTACAAGATGGACTCCGGGTACGCGTGCGAACACGCCGGGTGTCCGGCGCCTGGGTTCGAGAGGGATGAGGAATGTTGCGTGACGTGCATGGAGGTGGTGAAGCCTTTCCTAGACAGCCCCTACGAGTGTTGGACGTCGTGGGTGCCGTGGGCCGGGATCGACGGGGATAAGTTCTCCCCTGGGTTTTATCAGCGCCTCGGTTTGCAATGTTCCATCGAAGGCGGCGCCGTGAAGGTGAGGGTGTGCAAAGCTGTGCGCAGGTGAACGACAGAAGAGGGTGTCGTGCCGGATTTTTGAAGGGGTCTTGTTCGGCTGGTAGCAGGCGGTTTTCTCTTCTAGACGAAGGCATCGCCACTTTGGAAGTCTTGACGGCGACGCAGGTTGTCATGCGAAAGCTACGCTGCATGCAATCCTCGGCGTCTCCTTTCCTTCTGAGTCCGAATTTTGTTCGTGAGCGAGCTGCCACCAGCGACACCCCCCAGTGCGCACTAAAGCAATCAACGTTGATAACCCTCGATGTCGCTGTTGTCGTCGCGTCCCTTCCCTCTCTCCCGTCAGGCGGTAGTGCTCACGAAGCCCCACGGGACCATGGCAATTCACGACGCCATGCAGCCCGTCCGGGACGCCCTCTACCTCCGCGATCGTGCCTTGAATCTCCTCACTAGCGCGAACAGCCTTGCCTGGCTCCATTTCGACGCTGAAGAACGCCTCGGCCACTGCGGTGACCCAAGCGGCGGGGGCGGTAGCGGCGCCGGCGGTGGTGATGGTGATGGTTATGGTGGTGGTAGTGGTGACGGTGACGGTGGTGTTATTGATGTTGGTGTTGACCTTGATGTTGATTTTGGTTTTAGTTTTGATGTTGGCAGTGGTTCTTGTCATGATGGCGGCGGTAAGGCCGCCTCGACGGACGTACTTATGACGAACAACGGCTTTCGCCCCGGTGTCGGCGGTGCGGCCGGCGGGCCTGTCGGTGGTGGCGGCGGTGCTGGGCTCATCGCCATGGACTTCGATGCTGTGGCAGCGGCAGCGGCGGAGGCGAGCAGCGAGAACTGGCACACCGTGGAGGACAGTAACGACCGGCGGGAGTTCGTGGGAGGAGGCGGGGACAGGGTGGACGGGGTGGCGGCGACAGCGAACGCAGCGAGGTCGACGCCGGGACCTACCGGCCGTTGTTGCTGGGAACAGGAGTGCCCCGCATCGTCGAGAAGCGAGTCCGGGTCGTCGGTCTCAGACGGCGCTTTGTTGCAGGCCGCCGCCAGGGCTGTCAACAACGCTCAGGCCCAGGCTGCTGCTGCTGCTGCCGCTGCTGCTGCTGCCACCACTGGAAACGGCGACTGCGACCTCGATAGCGTTTCGTTCTGCGAGTTGAATGTCTGTGCCGCCATGGACATGGCCGGCTCGGGTGCGGCAGCGGCAGAGGCGGCGGCGTCCTCCGTGCCCCCCTCCGGTGAGCGTTTGGACCTGCCAGATGTGGGAGTTCGTGCGTGCGTGAGTCACGGCGGAGCCAACGGGACGAATTGTGCCGGCGCTGGACGCGCCGGGGCACGCCGACGGTTCGACAGAGAAGGTGTACTTGTCGAGAAGCGAGTCTGGGAAGAGCGGGGAGAGGCCGGCGAGGGAACAAGCGGAGAGAAAAACGAAGAGCAGCCTCCTTCCCTCCTTACGGGAGCAGGCGAATCGCGGGCGAAACCGACAGACGGGGGCCAGGGAGTACGGGTGGCCGAGAACGGGAGTGCCGGGCTAGAGGGACAAGGGGCGGCGGTCAGGAGCGGTGGCTCGAGGCATCGGTTTGCAGGTGGAGTGCACACGGCGCACGGCGGCGAGCCCGCTGCTGCTCCGGTTAGCTGTTGCGCCGCCGGTGCTCGGGCGGCCGAACAACGTCTTGTGAACGCAGAGCTCTTCCAGGGACAGACCCCGAACGACCTTTCCAGCACCGTGTTCCCGGAGAAGAAGGCCGTGTCATCGGGGACGGGGGCGGCGGCGAAAACACCGGCCGAAGAGGCTGTCGAGGCGGTGGCGGCTGCGGTGGCGGCGAACGATGGCGACACGAGCGAGGGGATGGAAGAATCCGGGTCGGGCTGCATACAGTCTTGACGAGGCTCTTGCCCGTTAGGAAACAAGGCGCTAATTTCATTCCTGGCAAGGGTGAAGGCTCGAGGACCTCGCCAAGGCCGTTCGGGACGCTCTTACGTTTTCGGTGAAACTCTGTCATCTAAGTGTGCTCTCAAGTGATTTCTTCTCAGTGAACGCTGATGTGATTGATTGATCGTGTGGCAGGAGCAGCATGGACGGGTACAAGATCATCGTCCCACCCTTTCTTGTTTTGCCCGTCGCACTTTCTTGTTGTATTTCTGCGGAGTACGCGCGTAGCACTATTTTGATGGATTTGTGGTTTCTGTTCGAGGTCTAGCAGGAAGGGTATGCTTACGGTATTTTTACCTGTCTTGAACACGGATGCGGCTCGTGCGCCAGTCACGAGGTGTTTTTTCCCTTGGATGCCTTCCTTCTGTTACAGTCTCGATTGCTCTTTTTGTCGTTGCTTCGTTGTGGTCGTTGTCTTTGTTAGCTTTGTTTTGGTAAGGTAAGGGGGTCCGTTGGTCGAGTTTTTTGTTCTCTTACTTCTGTGTGTTTTGTGGTGAAAGCTTGGCTTGGTTTTTAGTAATTCCAAGGTTCGGTCGGCACACACATTGTATATCCCAGGGCCGTTCGCCTAGAGCTTGTTTATTGTGGGCTATTACTTTATCGATTTGCAGGCCTGTCTGCGCTGGTCTGCACGACACACCCGCTCGTGTTGGCGCCGACTGAGTGCCTGAACTGTGCTTCGCTGTAAATGAGAATTTGTCTGTCTGTCTGTTTACCGTAACAATGGCGAGTAATGCTGGGCTGTCTGTTTACCGTAACAATGGCGAGTAATGCTGGGCAATAATGTTTAAGTCGCACGTACGACATCGGCGATGAAAGGTGTAGGATACAATTTTTCCGTCCTTCTAGTGCGAACGTAGGTGCACTAATATTATCGTACGTCGCGCCAGACCGTTTTTTTTCATCTTTCTTTTAACTTTTATATGCATAACATGTTTTTTTTTTTTGTGATGTCTCCAGGTACGGTTGTCGGGTTTCCCGTGCTTTTTTATCCGTAGAAGCTTCCGACTGTGTCTTGAGACCCGAGCATTAGAGGAAATATAGGTAGATTCGCCAAGACACGACCCTCACCTGTCATCATCATCATCATCATCAGCGGTACATGAATTCTGGAAAATTGTCAGAGGCTTGTGTAGACAGGTTGGGAGCGAGAAAAGTATTGCGTGTGATGACTTCTGCACACGCCTGCTACCTGAGACATCCAGCCCAGGTCATGGCCTGACGTGTCCTGTATCGTTTTTCAATCCTTCCTGCTGATCTGCACAGAGCTACGTGCACGATGTTCTATGGAGCATGCCGTGTTTTTGGCTTTGTCTTTTGGGCTCTCGCTGTGGTGCAGGAGCCAGCGGATTGCAACAAACTGAAGCGTAACCATCATCGCCCGTGTGGTTGGTAAACTTAAATAAGGCTTACTTTTGTTGTTCTCGCCCCCAACTTTCTGTGTAAACGCAAACAGGATGGACATGTTCACAAGGCACGGAGGATAAGTTGCGAGTATCATACATAGCATCTGTGCACCTTTCGTTCAGCCAAAACCGTTGGAGGGTTGGACATCCAAGGCACGAATGACATCCGCTGTACAAGTGTATTATTTTCGTCGTTGATTCCTACGCTATTTCGCTATTTTGCCGTGCTCCTATTCTCCTACCCATGACAGCACTGGCTTCGGCCCAGCTTCCGCTGGACATTTCGACGGGTGTCGATGTCATTGTGGTTCTGGTATTGTGCTGCATTATTTCTTCCTTCTCTCGAAAAAAGAGTTGTGGCGTCTGAATACGACCTTCTTCCTCTTGGTCATCTTCGAGGCCAAGAAACGGGTTCCTCCGTGGTCAACAGACAATTTGTACCACGAACAACGTTGCAAGACACGAACGAAGAACATCCCATCATGCTAGTTCGCGAACGTTTCTGTTCAAGAAGGTTGACCAGGCACGGGCCAACCTGGCTGGGCAACGGAAGGCGTCAGCCTTTGGGGGACAAGCAAATCACGCAAAAAAACGATTAGACGGGAGGTGGTCCCCTTCACAGGTTGTAATTGTGGTCAGTTGTTTCCTGGGGAGGCATATCTGTCGTTTTATATCAACCCATTCATGCTGCGATTGATTCTGCTGGCAAGTTTCTCGTATCTTGCCCTGCGGTGAGGACACCACGTTGTTGTCCGGGTGGCGTACGATATGAGAGTGTTCCCCTTCTCTCCTTGCTGCTTCTCGTCTAGATTGTATTTTCGGGGTAATAAGTCCCACACTATTTGTGGAACGCGACCTTGGTTTGACCTAGCGATAGAAAGCCACATTTCGGAATACATATTATGTCATAGTCATTTAGATCTCGACCACGTAGTGCACCCACTCTCTGGTAACATCCATGACCTTGCCAACAGTCACTGCGGATGCCATTCTGCAAAGATCCGTCTCAACGTAACAACAAACGTTTTGCGCCTACCCCAGGCAATGACATCACCAGTCGGTGTCGCAACAACAAATAAAGGCCCGACTGACTGAATAAATTAAGTGTCCATGCACATCAGTCAGTGTTGCAAAGGAGGGCGGTTCCCCTGAGGGTCCAGAACTGCGGATTCTTCTCCATAGTGCACTTGAGGTTGACCATGAAGATGATGTAGCGATCTGTCCTGGCCGAGTACTTGTAACACGGACACTCAAAGGGTCCCTGGGCGCCGAACATCTCGCGCTTCACCTTCACCTGATGCGTAAATAGTAGTAGTCGACCATGTGTCAAGCCCGATGAAGGTCATGCGGCCACAAAACAGGACAAGCAGGTCTCTCCGTGTATCTTCTCGCTAGGTTCATGGCAAACGTTGGCCGGGTGCCGCTTGGCTCACTCAAACTCCCTTGCCTCCATCGATTTTCGCGTCAAGCAGGTGTCCGATTGATATATATATATCGGGTGTCTCTAATCGCCTTGCTGTCTGGGCTCGGCGGAATTTGGGCCAGCGTGGTGTGCTCTACGGCAGATGCAATGACCAGCGCTCACTCTATATCCACAGCAAGCATGTGAACAAACCCAATTTGGGGTGGAGGAAACATCACCAACCACAGCAATGTAAGCACGCCCGCAAACACACCTGGTCGCTCTTGGTGTTGGCACTAACGAACAAAACAGGCAGCGACACGAACAGCTTCTTTGGCTCTGACTCCACCATGACCCCCTCTTGCTTTGACCATGCCGCGCCGTCCAAGAAAAGGCCGTGGATGTACACTCCCTCCGCCGGGGGCGATCGGACCTGGGTGACCGTTCAAAGCGTTGTGACCAACGACGATTCTAGCACTTGCAGTCTTTTTATGCTAATCGTCAGCATTAGTACCGGACTTGAACCACACAAACGGCTTACTTTCCCGATATTGGGGAAGAGCAATTCGGAATCGGCATGGATACACAGGTGTCGTATCTATATCCAGCAAGGCCCTCATGCAAACGTGGAGGGGCGCCCAAACCAAGCGCCCCACCACGTACGCTGTTCATCGCACCCACTGGGTGCACTGGGGACATGCCACATTATTGAACTCGCATTGATTCACGCATGATTTTTTTTCTTTTTCAACGACGTACGTGTCCCTTGCATTGGATACTAGTGGTGGCGATTCGACGTCTCCCAATGATAACGCGTTCATACGGGGGTATCGAACTCCGGGGCCACAACCACCCCACGCGCGCTTTCACACCTGCTCCATCCGCTCATACGAGGTGACTTCGGTGTGGTAGACCACGTCGTCCAACGCCCACTTCTCCGCCTTGTGTTTGCGAGTCACCTCCTGCTTCATGGCCGTAAGCATGCCCTGCGGCGTGCCGGCAATAAAATCGGCCGCCATGACAAGGAAACAAGCAAAAAAGCAACAATTACGAGGTTCAACACCAGATGAAAATCGTTTTATAATCTCGTGCTTCGCCAGCGCAGCATATTCTTGGCACCGGTCAAACATGTAGGCCCGTGGCAACGACAATCACCTCGACGGCATGGATGGGTGAGGAAAGGACATGGAGATGCTGGATGGAGGCGTGTCAGGGAGTAGAATGGAAGTCATCGTACAATGGGGATGGTTCGGTTAGCGTCAGTGAAGCACGACGATCGTTCCTCCGTTTAGAAGGTTCTTCGTTTCCCAACGTTTTACCCACGCCTCTGTCGCGAACAAGCGTTTCGCTTGCTAAGCAACTGGAGTAGACCCGCTTATCCTATCTATCCTGGTGTGCTACATAGCTCACACCATTTCCAAGGCAATACATGGTAGGGCCACAAAAAAAGCGAAACTATACTCGCCTGTGGGTTAAAGAAACCGGTGAGCCAGTAGCAAGTCGGGCGCCCGTTGTTGAGCCATGTCCGGTCCTGCTCGTCCCTCGTGATGAGGGAGCTGAACCAAAGACCCAAGGTTGGCAAGATCCACGAAAATTCGTCGCCGGTGATGGTGAAGGCCCATAATCTTGGAACCTGTCGGGCCGCACCGCGCCGTTCGTTTGGGGGCCAGGGATTGCGTGTTTTGGTAGGAGAGAGGGTTTGAGGTTTATGAGTGGGTATGGCGGAGTGTGATAACTGGGAAAAGGCGTAAGGTGCGTGGTGACTGTGTGCATGCTGATTGTACGGCGTGTTGCAATCTGGCAAGAAAGTTAGCGAGCAGAGACGAGGGGGGACGGGGGTTCACAGGAGAAGTTGGCGTGCTGTGTTGCGTCTTATTTGCCACACACCCCCAACAAAACAAAAAGATAGAGCAGCATGTTCCTGATGCCAAACCATACTCGTTTGGGGGGTCTGAAGTTATGTGTGAGATAAAGTCGCATTTCAAGAGAGCTTTCGCTGATCGGCCCACCTTAGCGTCATACACAGCGTAAAGAGTCTCCTGCAGCTCCTCTGTCATGACCACCTCCCCCTTGATCGCCTGCTGCAGTTGCGTGAGGATAGAGCGGACCTTCGCGATAACCTTCTGCAAACGCTGGATCTCCTGTTGGACGGAGGAGCGTGCCGCGTGAAAGCGAACGCGCATGAGAAACAGCGACACTACTGTTTCCGAGAGGAAACAGGGCATCGATAAAGTGCCCACGACCATGCAAGCTCTATGGCCGTGTCCTGGAAGACTAGAGTTCTTGCCGCAGCCCACCAACCAGCATCAGTTATTCGATCAGGCGAACCAATTAAAGGAGCACATCCTTTTGCAAAACCTTCGTACCACTGTCCACCTAGAAGGCTCAACATATTCCTGTAACGGTTTGCACCCAAAACCTTGCATGCACACGAACTTTCTTCCTGGGCAGGACCGTACCGCTCATGTGCGCAAGTCAGTATGGAAGGTCCCTCTCTCAATAATGTTATATTGTGGGCCAGTCAGTATATCGCCGTGCGAGCACGTAAGGCAAAGGACCCCTCCCAACCACATCGAACAAGCATTGCCTGGAAGAGGAAGATGTTCAGAGGCACCGCCAGCCCTCCGAGCTTCTGCAGCTTTGCCTTGTAGTCGTCCTCTATGTAGTCCTCCGGCAGCCGCTCCAAGAGCTCGGCGGCCTTCTCGAAGACCACGTCCTCGCGACTGGCTCCGCCGCCTCCCCCGCCGCCCTTTGATTCGAGGATGATCGCGAAACGGGCAGACAATGCGTACTAGGTGAATCCAGGAAGCGTTCTAGAGCTTCGTATCAGGATATGGCTGCGCTGACTGAAGAAGTTTGGACATTGATATAGCCTCGAAAAGCTCAAAATCTAAAAATTCAACACCACCAAAAACGATATTGCGGTCATTCGGAGCATAGCCCTAGGAACTAGGCACCCCGGCCTCAGCGAAAACTAGAGGTTCCTAAGTGGCGGGCGCGTACTGTATTGCACACGACGGCATTTTTTACTGTACAGACACGTGTTGGCTGGAGGGCAATGCTCTGACGCCTGCCTGCCTGCCCACCTTTGGCTGTGTGTTGCCCAAGGTCGCGAAGAGGGCGTTGACCTCCTTAACTCGGAAGGTGAGGTCGGCGTTCGGGTGAAGGCCAAAGATCTCGGGAGTGTCGATCTCCGGGAAGGTCTTGATGAAGTCCTTGAAGGTGCCCAGTTGTTCGGAGCTGCGGCAGAGGAAAGGGGAAGTAGCACAACATCATCATGTCAACGATAGCGACAACGATTTAGCGCTTAAACCTGTAAAACGTCGACCTGCCTGGAAGGGGAAGAATCAAAGTGTCGATACCCGGGCCGTCCAAACGACGAGAATTGACGAAGTGCTTTTCGAATGCTGGGGATGTTTCCGAAGCTACGTAATCTTCACCGGTGGGAGAAGATTCAGCACAGTATCAAAACAGCATACACGTTTCTAGGCGTATCTAGGCGAGTCGAACGCATGTTCTGATCGGCGGTTCTTCAGCATTGGCACCTTCCCCCGAGGGGTAAGAAATCGAGCATGTGGCCAAGCATTCTCGCCTTCGTGCCGAGTGTGGGATGAATGGCGGGCGACCAGGCGGGGGTAGAGAGTACTCGCGGCTACCAAAAATTGCGGGCGATGTTTTGACCACCGGCGCCCACGCTCTATCGAAGATGAACCCGTGCTACGCAGGCGGGCAGCAATCTTGTCAACATCGTGTCCGTGTTTTCCACAAACGCAAACAGGAATACGAATCTTTGGGTGGCTCCTTCGTCCCTTCCATTCTCACCTCGGAATGGTGTACTTGAAGTCTTGAGGGATGCGGAAGATCGGGTTTGGTGGGTTGTACGTGAAGCTATCCGCGCACGTGCTCGGGGTAAGCCACACCTGGGGCCATCGCGACGGGATCGGGAGGGGTATGCTTGTGGGTTTGGCCGGTTGGTTGCCTCCGGGCATTGTGGCAGGAAAACAACCGCAATCACGTGGAAGGTGCTTGATGTGCACAACGACGCTGACAACGGAGTGACACGGAAGAATACCGCTTGCTTGACAAGCCACATGGTAGATAGGTTGGTGTGAACAGGAGTGCGCGTCAATAATGGCGTGCGCACGGGGCAGAAAGTAGAACTGAGAAAAGTTGCAATCCAGCCTTTGGTAGTCTGAGCAGGTGCACTATTCCTCCATCCAATGCCCTCAGAATGTTCTTGTGTGGAGCCGTACGCGCATGACGCTGGCTTAGTTCGTGTTTACTGTAAATTGATACAACCTATCCAAGAGAACGGGTTCCGAACACGTTCCTCCGTTAAGGATCGGAATTCCATAGATATACTCGCGGTGCACACATAAGAGACTCAGCCCCTGAGTCCTTTGAACTATGTTCCCTGCGTGCTGGTCATTTGCCGTCCGAGAACCGTTGAAGAACTACGGTGGCATCTCTTCGGTTTGGCGTAGCATGTTGAACACATAAAAAACAGGAAACCTTTCTTAACGAATTTACCTCGAGATTGGTACTTGTATGTATGTAGTCACCTACCTGTGTATAAGTCTTGAACATGCGTCGGTCGAGGTCGTCGGTGATCTTCCCGCCGTACTGCACCTCCGACACCATGTACTGGAAGGTTGGCCAACTGAAAAAGCACGGATTGGAAGAGGACCATGGTTTGGCGTGGGAGCATTGCGTTTTTTCTTGTTTTCACACTAGAACTTTCTGGCACGATGTTGGCCAATTTATTCTTTTTCCTACAGTACCGGTCTAATGGATGAACAGCGACTTTCGTACTCCCTCACGAACCGAAAAGACGTTGTTGCAGAGATAGCACACGCACCTGATGGGCCCGTTGTAGAGATGCTTCTCCAAGAAGAGAATGCAGGCCGTGAGATCGCCGTTGTTGTACTCGTACGGGATGCACCACCCAAGGGGACCAAACTTTCGTCGCTCTTGCACCTGACAATGAATGGAAACACCAATCACCCGCCGATCGTCATGGTGCTCTCCCGACCTAGGTTCTCAGTCCCTCACGCTCGATGCGTAGCAGCAATTGGTATGTATTGGTCTTTGTGGCACACCGTGTTCTTGAGCATGTTTTACGTCCGCTAGAGTTCTCTCTCACCACCGAGTGCAGGAAGCAGAGTGCAAACAACAGTTGCCTCCACTGCGCGGTTTCCACCCTCTCTAGCCTCTCCTGGTCCACGATGACCGTGTAGGATCGGAGGATGCCCGCTTTCAAGCCCGCCGGTGGTTCGTTGGTGACCTGGGTGTAATGTTGATCGGTTGCACCGATATGGCGTAGCGAAGCAGAAAAAGAGGGAAAATATTCATACCCGTGTAGTGCTTCCGAAGTTTTACGATCTACATGGACGAGTGGCGTGGGGGCTCGGTTTCTGTGTTGAAAAATATCACCGTACAGTAGCCAGCAGTGCTTCTACATATGGCAGCAGCATGTGAGTGTAGAACGAGGCTGCCCAGGTCTATCCTCGGTCCCACAAAGAGTTCGTGCATACATATGATAAATATAACACGACACGATTCACAGAAGTAATCGAAAAACGCGCCCCGTGCTCAATAAACAAGCCACATACGTAGAGGCGGAAGAGAGCTTATGATTGTACCCTATCGTGAAGTGCCATGTTGCCATGCAAACGTGATCCAAAGACAAGGTCCGAGAAACACCCAACGCATCGCCCCCTGCGCCGATTCTGCGAGCCCACCTTGGTACACATTTGAAGCAACCCTAGCGGGAACTCGTCGTTTGGCAGGGCTGTGATGAACAGTCTGAAGGCAGGGTCCATCCCTTCCTTCAGCTTCCCGAACAAGTCCTGATCACCCAAGTTGGATGGTGCAGACGGAAGCAATTTTTCGGAGCGAGGGTAAAAGGTACGAGGTCGTCCCGTGCCTTGAGCGTCTCTAGCAGTCAAGCGGGGTTGGGGTGATGGGGTTATGGATAGCCGTGCTTTTCTCGCTGAGACACGTCTCCTTGGCTCTGCTCATGCTCTAGTCTCACCGGGCAACGTCTCTTTATCAATACTTTGCATGCGCGACGACAGGTGTAATGGAAGCAAGATAACCCTGCCGATGACAGGCGCGTGGTGAGCATTTGTCGAACCCGATGTCGGAGGTGGGGTACATGTGTCGCCGCATCGTCTTTTTCAACTTGGCCAGAAATCGAAAGTGTTTCACTAGTAGCGCGAATCGCTACTGAAACACAAAGGTTTTCTAGCTGGTCTGGCAAGCGACTTGATTCAATGCGCCTTCATCAATACCAAACGAACAGGGTCATACTTCGAGAAATAATTCGGATTGAACGATAACCTTCTACAGTCGGAGTGCATTCGCCCTGGAAAGTTTTCCCCACTCTTTGTTCGGGCCATCACAGAGCTCCCGGATTGGCACCGTCGATGAACACAAGAGCATCATTGGCAGCAACAACAACACCAGCAACAACAACAGCAACAAAAACAACAACAACAACAACAACAACAACAACAACAACAACAACAACAACAACAACACTACTTGCCTCCATTTCGTTCATCAGGCCGAGGCCGAGCTCGCAATTCTGCAACAGCACCCAGGTGCCATTCACCGCCGCGGCGTTCATGGCCCGAATCGCAACCGGCTCCTGGCCCTCTCCAAGGGAGATGACCGACGGTGGTGGGAGCTGACCCATTGGTTGGTGTCATTGGTGTATTCAAGTTTTCACCACAGCGGGACGACGAACGGCAACGAGACCGAGGTGTGGCGGCGTTCAGGGCTACAAGGTGGATAGGTAGCCGTTACAGGGGTAGGCGGAGAGAAAAACGATCTCGACCAACAAGGTTTGGGTGGCGCCAAGGATCGACTAACCGTCTACCGAAAGGGGGAGTGAGGAAACAAGATGATACGTTTTTTTCTGGGTACCGCGTGGTGTGATGGACTGCGTGTATGCGGCGTGAATCAGTGGACGAAGACACGAACGTCGTCCATTGTTGCTCATTCGACGGGAATCCGCGGAAGATGGCGACGCTGAAATCTCAAAAAAACGTCCCCTGTTCACCTTTTTCCGTCTGGCTAAAACCTCGATGCTCTCGGTAGGGTCGGCTCCCACGGAGAGCAGGAAGATAACGGGGATTTCCGCTTTCTATTGAACGAAAAGTGGGCAGCAGGGCAAAGGGTGGCAGGAACGAGATATTGAAGGGTCGGTGACCTGTTGAACATTCTTGCGTGCTGCTAAAGGGAAAACTCCAGAGGTATGTAGCGCTATCAAGCACAACGTTGCTTTGGCACTATACCGAGAAGCTTTGGCCCTATAGCAGTAACAGCGCAGCTTTCTAGCATTTTTACAGGCACCACCAAACACCAGGCGAGTTTTCCCCAGTACAACCCCCCCCGGCACCAAGCTCAGCAACACATGCGACCCACCATCTCGTCGAAGATCATCTCTATTGTATCCGTTACGGGCTCTACGAAAGGCGGCCCCATCTCCGCGGTGTTCCTCACGAACTCCTTGCACGTCAGGATGGTTCGGTCCATTCGCATCGAGCGGACGAGCAGAAGCTTGTAGAACGGCCCGATCGATACCTTTTTTTCCAACGGGGCACAGGTAGAGGGTGGAGGGTGTGCTCACGTGCTGGTTGCCCTGGTCCCTAGACTACGTCAGTCCCATGTCTTACGTCTCAAATATCCACAGGTGGAAACGTAATCCGTTTGCAGGCTTTCGTGTTCTTTGCAAGGGACGAAATTGTAGCAGTTCCAGATGACTCAATAGTGGTAGCAATTACCTCCTGAGCTGAAGCAAGAAATCTACTATTATTCGCGGTTGGGCCTAACGCCGAAGGACACCTAGAGAAGCATCTTCATTATCTGCGAAGTGGCTGCACCTGCTCGAGGATGCGATTCTCGTAGTCCGGAATCGCGATCGACTCAGGTTCGTTGTCTTCGTACCACCTGTAGCGCCGAAGGACAACATTGCCCCGCCGTTATGATCGTACTTGAATTCCCAAAGGCGTGGCGAACTTATTGTCATTAGTCGTAGGCATGATAGCGCCAGATCGTCACAGTGCGTGTAGAAGGGAAAAGCGACGGCACTATCGCCGTGAGATCGAGGGATAGTACTTTTTACTGGCTTACCGCTCCCATCAATCCGATCGCGCGTGGGGCAAGGGAGATTTGGGAGATTACGACGTTCAAATCGCAGAAATTTTGCTAGGCGGTGGGTTTTGTTCGTTGTTTCACCTTCGCCACATGGACTCGTTGCCCGCCATGTCGTTGGGCAGGTTGGAGAAGAACTTGGACGACTGGGACAACTCCAGCACGTTCAGCCAAGCTTCGTTAGAGAGCCAATTGAAAGGCTTTCGTCTCACCTGCGAAAGGTAAACATGTTGCGACGAAGGCCTGCTTGCCGTTGTGTCTTAAATTTCCCCCGAAGTGTGAACGGTGGTCACATGCTCGGGCGTTTGGTTCTCAGTATTTCGAGACACTCTTTCATACTGAAAACACCGCGTTTTAGAGCATGGGGTCACTGCTCCTGTGTCGTGGTGCACTTCAACGTACACTTCTCAACCAAAAAATCGAGAGCGAAATCTCATCGTATGGCACCGCCTTGATTGTACCCTCCGTCCTCACCGAGTTGATATCGAGGGCGGCCCCTCCCCTAAGGAAGATGGTGAGGTCCGTGGTCTTGAGGAGGGCCGCCGTGATGAGGATCTTCATGGTCACCAACAGCACGAACGTCAGCTTGTCCTTCTCGTACAGGCCCCGGTTGATGTACCGGTAGCACATGTAGGTCATTGTCTCGATAATGTTGGTCACCCTATCGCGGTGAGAGGGGCGAGGTAGATGCAGAGCGACGATTATACGACGAAAAAAATAGTGTTTATTCGAAAGACGAGTACTTCTGTTGTCGTGTGAAATGGTGAACAGGTGATGTAGTTTGCCTCGGTGCAATTCATTGCTCTGTTTTGCAAGCAATGCTACTACAGCAGTAGCCTATTTCTCTTCGCATCGAAAAAAGTGGATAATCTTGCATATCTTAGATGGCGTTGACTGCAGCCGCCGGGACAAGAAAACGAAGAACTATCGAAGCAACCACCCACAGTGGCCTAGGTTGATTCTCAACAAATCAAAGCTTCACTGTAGTCTCGAAGAGCTAATACCTCTCCGCACAGACAACTGTAATAAGAACGCGACGCCAAAGTCTGGACCAAGACAGCGTTTGAGTAGAGATACGCCTTTCTTCGTCCCACCAATCCCTGTACACGCTCCTATGCCAGCACACACGCGCTTCTTGGAGCAATAGTGACAACAACAACAACAACAACAACAACAACAACAACAACAACAACAACAACAACAACGGCAACGGCAACGTCGGGAACAACACCACGAACATCTCCAGCACCACCACAACCAAAATAGTACGCAACAATCACACACGAACCTTTTGGATGCCAACGAGGCCTTCTCAGCCCTATCCATGGACCCCATGAAGATCTCCAAGAATTGGTCGAGGGACGTCTGGTACATGACGTTGACCAGCGACAACTCCACCACGGAGAAGTAGAGGACGGAGCCCCTCGTCGCGACGGGTCGGAACTGCTCGCGCTTTTCGTTAATGGACTTCTTCGTTTCGTCCGCGGCAACTAGCTTCTGGTTCACGTCCGCCGCTTTCGCCTGTGGTTGGCACAGTTACGTAAAATGGACGGGGCCAGGACCGGTGCTTCGTTGGCAGGGTGTAGAACACACGATACAGGGCATTCTGGTTCTAGTTGAAGTTCGCCCCAGCTTGTATTGGAGTGGCGCCAAGGCTGAGGTCGGTCATGTACATGAACAGGCATTACTGTAGACTATTGTTCAATGTATTGACGGTCATACCAAGAGGCATTTCTGGCCCTTACGTGGCTCCTGTGAGGTCGTCATTGTCATTTTTTCGTCAACGGTTCGCCAGGTTGCGGTTTCGGCTTCTAGCTTGGTGCAGGCGGTGAGAATAGTGTCGTGGATCTTGGCAATCTACGATGCATGCTCTAGCTTCTGTAGGTTGTGCATAAGTGATTGATTCACCTTGGTATTTGCAAGCACCCCGATGAGCTCCTCATCCTCCAGCAAATTCCCAGTGTTCGAAGTTAAGCGTTCCAGCAAAGAAGCATCCAGTGCAAGAAGCGCCTGTAACGTACGTAGACAAATAACCACGGTAATTTTTGTCAGTATCATTTGCGTACTGAGCACCGTTAGCGATGTTTGGAATAAAAAGAGGTATCGTTTTGAAAATCACCCCAAAATAAGCCAAGCCGCCATGTGAAGAGCACCCCGGTAAAATATTTTGCCGTACGAAAGCATATGATCGCGTGTGACTCGCGTTCCGTATTGTAAGTGAATTCTGACCACCAGCATCGGTAAGCCGTTCCAGCAAGTCACTCGTGCGTACCTTGGTATTGGAATTAACCTCTTCCAGCACGTCACTGAGCTGCTCCTCGAGAGCCTTCTGCTCTTTGCCGATCACGCGGCCGAGGAGCTGCTCTTCCAGTCCCTTCTGAGTAACCGTGAAGTCGACAAGGGTGACCTTCATATAGCGAGCGGTTAAGTTTTAGAGAGAGGGAGAGAGAGAGAAAGGGCGGTAAAGGTAGGGTTTTGGATTATTCATGAGAAATATGCCTGTCTTGCACTACATGAAGCAAGTCAAGGATGCATGTTGTACCTTGTTCACCTTCTGGTGTGAAAGCGAACACTACGTGGGTATTGCTCAACATAGCCGTGCACGGAAAGATGTTTTGAGGAGTGCGTCAGACACACGTGCGGTGTTCGTGTTCTCGTGTTCGTCGTTAGCCACATAACCAGGAAACGCTCAGGGTGAACGCCATCTCGTTCACAGAGAAGGATCCCTATGAATCAAAGCAAAGCCAGTAGCGACCGCAGAGCCAGCAACTCCTCAACCATCGTCAGACCCAGCTAACAATATGTCATCCACGTAGATAACAATAATCATCACCACAACTTCGTCTACCACCTTGCAAAAGACAAACGGGTCCGCCTTACACAGCTTGAACACGTTTTCTACGAGCAGCAGCGTGTAAGTATGACACGTAGCAGTATCAGCTGTGGGCGAATTCAGAACGCCAAACAGAACACCAGGCACCACTGCCCACGACAGCGTTGTCGTCCCACCTTTGCCTGAAGCTCCGGGCTGAAGCTGGGGTTGGGCAGGCGAGTGATGAAGTACATCATGAACCTGGGGTCGAAGTCCATGGCCTTATCGGACACGTTGACCGACATTTTCTTTCCCTTGACGACGAACTGTTTCTCCATGACCGGGTCGAGCATGGGGTCAATGTCCTGCTCCACACCTGAAACAATCGGTTTAGTGGGGGATGTCAGGTATTGAGGATTTATCTTCGTTCGGCAGCACCGTCGTGTATTCGGTTTGCAGATTGCGAGAGAAACCGACTAAACCACGGGGACGAGGCTGCTTTGAAGCGTGTGGCAACCTGGGGCGTGCAGTCATGGGTACGTTTAATCTACGGCTGGCTGCGGACGATACGCGTTTGCCTACTTCTTGAATGTTAATCGATGATCTACCAGCGTGCCATTTTCTTTCGTGTTTTGATGGGGTGTTGCAGGGATTGCTTCATGAGCGTTCGTCATGAACGTATTTGCGCGCCATTTTCACACTGTGATGGGGGTGCTGCATGGGCTAGTGGTTATCGTCGTTTTTGGAAGTTGATGAGGTATTCGTGATGATGCGCTCGTGCCACGGTGTGGGCACAGCAAAAGCCCTAACTCGCCCCTGAAACCGACGGCATCGTTCGTTGCAACCCTAGTTGGTGGCATCAGCGTATACCGAGATGTACAGTGTTGGTGAAGTCGAGCGTCGTTGAACTAACTCGAGAACTGCTCACCCAAGATGATCAAAGCTTTTCCGTCACCCATGGTAAACTCCAGCTTATCCCTGAGCTTGGGGTCGTTCAGGGCGGCCACTCCGAACGTAGGAAGGTTGGAGGACTCCTTGCTTCGGATCCAACTGACTGCCTGTCCTTGAGGGTCGATCATCAACGGATACCTGCGAGCGTAGACGTCACGGAACTTGAGCGTTGAGCGTTTTGGGGTCTATAGCTCGGCGAGCGTTACCAGCGTGGTGAAGAATAGAGGACAGTTTTACACGTGAGACGGTCGAAACGGCTGTCTTTAATCTTTCTCGACCGATGTTTTTAGCGTTTCTTGTTCTGGTCGCAGGGACTCAGCCCGCTTCCTCCAAGCCTCGTTCGAGGCACACCTCTGTTTGACAACCATCTGGTCGAACAGAAGAGGGGTCAGCAGAAGAAGACGGTAGTGAAACCGATCGCCTTATTCAACGCGTTTCATCTTTGATAGGACAATAGGACACCATGAAAGTCTGGGCGGATTCATGAAACGAGCACAGCTGCGTTTGGGCGCCATGAAGGGTGTTTCAGTTGGAAGACTTCACATACCTAATCCTACGCTTTCCAGTAGGCCTGCTCAAACTTGGCGCAAGATTCGCACCAAGGCAGGTCCGGGGAGCATTTTTACGTGTCAACTATCCCATCGAAGTTCTCTCAAAGTCGGAATAACGTGTGGAACGCTTTGCAATGACGTCAGCGTACGTGTCGACCCATCGTCTCACCTAGAAGATCTCGTAACCAGGATACCGTTCTGAATAGACAATGGGTCGGTGGGCAGGCCCTGGATGTTCCAGTCTCCGATGGTACCGATGTCCACGAGGAACGGGATGATGTCGAGATTCTGAGTCACAGGGATTTTTCGGACCTGTCAACCCGAACGAAAAGCGAGAACGGCTAAGTGATGATATCGAAAGGTTTATAATGTGTCCAAAGGAAGACTTGTAACACCCCAGACGATTTTATGCGTACCATTCGACGTACAATGGTGTCCGTAGTGACGTCATTCGCCGTTCCTCGCAGCTTACCAACGTTCACCAAGCGTATTCCGGAAACGACCTAAATTTTCCCCCATTCTCACTTACAGAATGTGCACTACCGCCACACCCAGCATCACCGTTGCGTTTCGAATTGTCACCCACATATCAATTGGTTTTACCTGCAAGTCGGCGGTAAACTTGTCGGTGACCATGTACTGTCGGAACTCCTGGTTGAAGGGCCCGCAGTACGACACGAAGGCCGACCCGAGCGCGCAGTCCCCGACCAGACGCCGCTTCAGGTCTGCCGACTTCTCGCTGTCCTCCGTCCAACGCGTGCGCTCGCCCGCCAGTCCACCGATGAGGGTGGACGCCTGTCACCAAACATACAACAAAAATCGATATGATAACAGTCATTGAAGCCACAGGGCGGACTACGACAGAACCGGTGTCATGCCGCGGTGTTCACTGCCGGGGTCAAGTCACGTACTCTTCGCTCTTCATCGCCAAGGGTTTTCAGAGATGTCGCTATCGCGACAATTCAGAACTGCAGCTATCGGCTAAACCTGGTTCATCTTGCGCTGCAAGGCCATGGCTCCGTCCTCGATTCTCTTCTTCTCCGCCATCTGATTGTCGAACATAGTCTGTAGCTCTTGGAGTCGCCCTGTACACGCCTGAAGACGCATCTCGGCCGCGTTCAAAGCCTGTAATAATGATGTTTTTCGAAAATATAACGAACGAATGAACTAAAACGGGGGTTGTTGGTACCAATGGAACTGCCACGTTTTTCTAGTTTCTACGTGACCGAGCCATCTCGACAACACATTCAATGACCTGAGGTACGAGAGGCTGTTCTGTAGTCACCGTGGATGGGCAAACGAGTTCGGTTTTTCCCCATTCCACAGCCACCAATCTAGGGTTTGTCTTTCTTTTGTGTCCGATAAGTCGAACGAATCGAATCGCAGCACCAATAGTGCGGGAGAGAGTCCCTCTGTCGTCGCACCTTGTTGGCAGCGTCCATTTGACCCTCGGCGATAGCAAGCGCCTCGAGCTTTGGCTTGACAATCTTTGAAGCTTCGTGGTAGAATTTCATTGCCCTTACCCAGGTACACAGGCCCTCCGCGGCGGCCGATGCGTTCTTGGCCACCTGCAACAATCGCGTCCGGCCGTCAAGCGTTTGGTGAGAGATGAACAACGGTGTTGCCATAGGATGGTGACAGGCTCTTGGTAAAAACTTGTGACTAGGGGAACTTGTCGGACGAAACACGCGCTGGTCTCCCTGTTGAAGGCGATTGACAACGCCACCTTAAGTGGATTGCGGTGAAATGGTTTCTACTTAAGGGAATAATACTCAAAGCTGCTACCACAAGGCACGGCGATGAGCCTCAACGCTGCGTTCGAGAGCGTCATTCGACAGTCTTTCCTAAACGCCCTCTGCGAGTACGTGTCACGAGATGCGCCGTCTCGCCTGCGGGTTGAAGCCCTCGATCTCGAGATAGGGTACCAGGAACTCGATGGTCTCCTCGTTGATCTTGTCCTTTCCGAACTTGCCGAAGTCGATAACGTTGTTGAGGAAGGCCGGGTTGGACATGCAGGATAGGCCGTAGGGCTTGAAAGAAGTCTCGAAAAACTCCACCTCCTTCTTGGCGATGTTGAGCTTGAACGACTTCACTGGAAGAGTCTGGACGAAAAACATGCAAGGTCGAGAACACGGCGAAGAACAGGCCCAAACAGCAGCGAAAAGGACCGTGATTTGATTCGAAAGCTTTGCTCGATCAACAGCGAGACTCTAATCCGAGGAAACATTTGCCCGTGTGACAAAAACGCGGTTGCGATCGTTGATAGAAGCTAGATGAGAAACGCTGCAAGGCCACATTTCTACAAGTCACCCTTTGAAAAGCGAACACCCCACGATACAAAAGGAGGGACCGATTTTCAGCCAAGACATAGGTCTGCTCTTCACCGTCGCTGTTTTCCCGGTGGAACAGCGGCGGGAGGGGGCAACAGCACATAGGGCGGCGCGTTTTTACCGATTCTCTAGATTCCGCACACAAAATTGTTCGCCTGGACAAAGCCCGCTGAAGCGCGACATTGACACAGTAAATACAAACACCGCAAATGGTTCTCTTACCCTTTACACGCCACACGCTGCGTTGGCGTGTTGGTTCTCCAACCGTTCCTTCGACAATGCAACAGCGTCCCACGTGTTGTCGCTTATTAATCGTGTTCAACGTTCTTGCAGAAGAGTGTTTCGGGATCAATTGCCGTGTTTGGAGTAGTGCCTCATGTATGGAGCACCCCGCACGAACACAAATTCGAGGCAAAATGTGCCCCGTGCCCTCGGTATCTTGTTCGTGGACAAAGTGGCCTGTGAAACCTGTCCATATGATAACATATTTGCTGATGACCTACTTTGCATGTGGAGAGCCCACCCTCACCGGCAAATGGAACAGCAAAAGGATGCAGTCGAACACCATCTTGATCACGTCCGCAGGGTTGGGCAGTTTCTTGACTTCCTGGATGTGCCCAGGCTTGATCGAGCTGATGGCTTTGTCGGCCTGTATTTCGTTAGTTGTTCATGTATTTTTCGTCAGTTATTCGTGTTCACCGTGAGTTCGCCCGGTTTCTGAAGGGCGCGCCCCCAGTGCAACCCCAAACATAGGCAACTAATGTCATGGTCTAGGTCCGTTTGAAGTTCTCAACACTTCAATGCCGTAACGTAAAAAAGATCTGGGAGTCGTCAAAAACAACCAGAAACCCGCTACACAAGTTTCGAAAATGAACAACCAACCAACACGCGATATTTAGAAGTTTCAGCCCTGGCGAAGTCAGTCATCAGCGACTTCTTGTCAGCAACGTCTCACTAAGAGGCAATCCTACTTGTGAACTGCACCAAGAGGCAATCCTACTTGTGAACTTTCTGCATAGGCGTTCTGGTCATTGCCGCTATCTCCTATGTGAAGTTGAACAACTGCACAGCATTGCGGGTGGTAGAAGGATTTGTGCAGAGTTCAAGTCACTTGGCCCTTGTGAAGCAATCACCAGTAATCCACCCATCTGGTGCCATCCTTCTCGCACCTGGTCCACGAAAGGCTGGGCCTTAGCCAAATCGCTCATACAAGAATCTTTTTCCGCCGCGATTCTTCGAGCGTCGTCTTCGCACTTGGTTTTGATGGTAGCCACCTAGACGTTGAGTACAGACGGCGCGATCGATCGTAAGCAGGTGCCGATCACCTCTTTCTACAATAGCCCTGTCTACGAGTTTAAGGCAGTTCTGTGCGGCAGCTAGCCTCTAGTCGTGACCCCTGAGCGCTTCGGTTTTCAGTGATATTTTGTCACTGGAGTGTAGTCTCCTCTACACCTCCACAACCACCGGTCCACATCCAGCGCTCTTTCACCGAACCCAGCTCGATGTAAAGAACATGATATCCTTCGCCAGCAGAACCTAAGTGCGTTTCGCTTCGGTTTGGTTTCATCACATGCTTCCGCCTTCATCTAACTCTGGGGACTTTCTGGTGCCAAACGTTGCGCCAACCACTTGCCTGATCTCCCTCCTTGCGAGCCTCCGCAGAAGACACCTCTAGGCTAGAGAGCATCTTCATTGTCTCTGCCGTGGCCACCTCGAGCTTCTTCTGCTCCTCGGCGAGCACGATCTTCATCGCCGCGACGTCCTTGGCGCCCTGAATGAGCTTCTGCAGCCCAAGATTGAGTCTCATCTCTTTCTCCTGTTAGGGCATGGTGGGTGAGTGTATGTGTGAGTGTCGAGATAATGCAGCATACAAAAAACCATAGGTTTGAAGAATATAGCTAATCGAACAGCCAGGTCTCGTTGGTAAAATAGCACGCCCATGGTCAGGAGTATGATTGGGTCTTGATCCATCATAAGCATGACTAGCGTAGAGGAATTGAGTAGGTATCGCCACAAACGAGTGCATATCGCAACAATTACGTCCTCCACAGAGGGAGACACATATTTTCTTCCCGCCCTTGAACCACTTGTTGCGAGCTGCACGTACAGAAAAAACGTCGCTACAATGTATGGCATCAAAGATACTCTCGCGCTCGACATCACCTCGTACACTTGGTCAGGTACGTCTTTTCACATCAGTATACTCCTCCCTGAACCCGACAAATGACACCTTATATTGTCCCCACGAGCTGCCGATTTGTGAAGAGTCACATACCTTGAGTTCGTTAATTTTCTCCTTGTACATGGCCTTATATAGCTGCAGGAAGGAGAGGTAGGACTTGGGCGTCTGGTAGACCTGCCTTCGCATCTTGGTAAAGTATTCGTCGCAAACCTGTGTCGACGTGTGCACGGCCGCAGGAGACAAGCATCGCAAAAGCAGTGTAGCCAAGTGTAGCAGGCGAGACAATCAGGCATTTGTCTCATATCGGGTTTGTCGCTGGACTCGCACCTCATGCATGTCAAGACGAGGAGTTGGCATCTCGAGGAAGCTCAATACACACTGACTGATGCCGGATGGGGCTATGTCAGGTGCATTGAATTGGGTCCGTCAGCTATTGGCGCACCCACCTCAGTGACCATGCGGTGCACCACACCCATGTGCGTCATGAGGAGTGACTTGACATCGGCAGGGCAGTCCATGGGGAACTCCGCCACGAGACCGTGGGAAACAGCGACTAAGGCCTCCTCGGGCCACGGCAAGAACCAGTCGATCGTTGGGCCCGAGATCAAGCCGGGGAATTTCCTGATTGATGCGGTTGAGTGAACGCCGCCGACACGTTTGTTGGACTTCGTTCAGAAGGTTGAGGTTGGGTAGCCATGGTATGGACGTTAGGTTTTAAGCACACGGGAGCTACATAATACTGCCTTTGCTGCATGCAGAAGCCGAAGCTTGGCTTCCGTTTGGATTGCCAACGAGTTTCAGTCGATGACGCGGATGTCTCGACAGAGGAAATTTGAGTGAAGGATACTCTCCTTCACTCTCTCTAGTCGACTGGGAAACACTCAATGACCGATTGATACCAAAAATGACAAGCCACCTCAGTATTACCTCGCCCTGACAGGGAACTTGGGGTTGAGCGGAGACATGCAGAGGATGAGGTGCAAGTTATCCCTCACGCAGTCCACGAAGTATTGCTTCATGTTGTCCCACGTTTCCTCTTGTCCCGGCCGTGCCTAGTTCCGTGCGGCCAAACGAAAAAAATAACAACACCGCAACATCAGACAGAAAAAATTGTCATATTGCTTGGTCTTGGAGCTTTCTACGTGATATACGCCTGTTCGTTCTTGTACTTGTCGGAGGTACTAGACGGAGATCAGACCATCGTTCAGTTAAACATGAAAATGTTGCAACAGTCATTCCTACCCATTCCAACCGAAGTCATGAAGAAATTACCTTGAGGAAGGAGTTCCTCAGATCGGCCGTCATGGCCATCATCTCGTCTTTCGCGAACAGTCCAGGGATCTCCCCAGTCATGAGAACGGAGTTCATCACCTCCAGGAAAACCTTGATTGCAGTTCACGGCAGACAAATTGACGCGAAAACGGTTACTCACGTTTCCGAACAGTCCGAACAACAATAGCCGCAAAGACCTTTTGAGCAGGTTGTGTTAGGTTCGGTGATGAATACAGTCTACGGCAAACTCATGCACTGTACCTCGTCCTTGATCTCCGCCTCGGTGAACAGGAACACGGTCGGCTTGCGCAAATGCCCCGCATTTTTGTACATGAACCTGTAAAACATGACGGAATTGTCGTTTCAGTGAAATACAACGGAAAGAATACACCCAAGAGGGGACTTTCTTGAGGGGCGGATCGAGTCACAATGGCTTCGCGTGGTGTTTCTTTGCACCAACGAGTGTACACCGGGGTGTGCGTGAAGCAACAGATATGTTTGCACATGCAACACCCCGCACCGGAGATCTTCCATGAAGCTGTTGATGTTGTAGGTCTTGGTCAAGGTGATCTGGAAGCACACAGCTCTCGAGATGTAGCTGGCCAGGCGGGTGAGACTCTGCTTTCCCGACCCGCCGACGCCGACGAGGAGGGCCGAACCCCTCGGCATCTCGATAAGGCGGTTGAGCCGTAGGAGATGTCTCAGAGCATCGTCGAACAGCACCAATTCCAGCTAGTGTTGTATAGTGCGGGAGGGGTAGAGCAGGGAGGGGCAGGGGGAGCGCATTGTCCGCATGTTGAACTTTGGGCTTTTATGTTGTACACAGGAGGTGGACTGGTAGGTAGGCCGTAGAGGTTCCTCCAGGCAAGCTAAATAATGGAATGGGGTCATCTCGAACGAATGTTGTGGAATGGAGTTTGGGGTGGTGGGAGAGGTTCCAACGGAAATACGACGTCAGCAATGAGTGGAAGAACACCACTTTTCCTTTTCAACTATATCGGGGCTCAAGACGGGGCGCTGGTCAAGCACGAAGAGCACTCTACAAGTCAGCATGCGCGATGTCATGTTTATGCTTGGGCCATACGTTCTTCCCACGGCCGGGAAGATTTGTGGGAGGGAAGGGTATCGATCTCATCACCTTCTTGGCCGGGAACTCCTCGTTGTGTTTCCCCATGAACTCTTTCACACGGTCACGGATGTCGGTCAAGAGCCCTCCAGGCTCGTACACCTAAAACGGCAAAACAATACAAGGATAAATATGTATAATTTGTCGAAACAGTTGCTCTGACGCAAGGTCAAGACGCAAACGTCCAGCTCGTTGGTTTCATCCTCAGTTCATGCATCCGGCACGCTAAATCAGAGCATCTGAAGTAACTTCTTGCTGATGCTACATCAGCCATACATCTATTGCATAGCACGCTATCTGAGCGGCAAACGGACCCTCTCATTCATGCTTCGCTCCTCAACCATCCCCGCATACCTTCGGCGCCTCCTCTACAAGAGACCCTTCCTCGTCGAGAACGTCGTCCCGGAGGAAGTTGACCATGTAGAAGTCCGGCTTGGTCTTGTCCATGAGTTCCTCGCCGAACACCTCTCCGACTAGACCAGACAGGTACTTGTCGAAGAACTCTTTGTCCTGTTTATTGCACCCACATGAACGATAGTGTTCGAGCAGCCGCAGGGAAGGTCAGGGGCGTACGTAAGGCGAGGACTTGAAACGGATGGGAGGCGTTAACGCGGGGAACAGAGTACCTCCGTTAACCGTAAATACGCGAGGCAGGGCGAAGTGGGGTTGTGTGACATGTACCGGTATGGACAGCAAATCAAATCAAACGCGTTTTTTCAGGCGGCACGAAACACGTTCTTGCTCCTGGGCATGTAAGATGGATAGTAAGGGCAGGCAGTGACTCTTGAATGTTAGCCTAATTATTCTCCGGCTTGACATCCAATGGCAAACCGGGCGTAGAAAAATTCATTTACAATAAGAACCTCAACTCGTTCAGTATTGGAGTCAAGCATGAGGTCGAATCGTCCAGTAATAATCAAAGGCTGGATTTGTTGGCGTTCGTCTCCATTTGGATGTTCACAGTAAACTACGCTCCCTGTTATACTGAACAGAAAAAACGAGGCAAACGGTGGATGGGTTATGTTCCTTCACCTTGTTTGTCGTGAGTTTGTCGCAGAACACTCGCTCGCACTCATGCCGCCACAGGTTGACCAGCACCTCTACGGGGCTCATGTTGAGCTTGCCCTCGACGGCCCGTGTCCCGCCCCTCTCTGTGATGGTGGTCTTGGGTGTGAGCAGTATACCCTTCGCCATACACAAAACAAAGTACAACGTGTCGGGAGAGGTCTCTATGTGTTTTTAACTTCTAAATTTAGGTGTCACTGCAGCATAGCAAAGTTTCCCTAAATCGTAAGAGGATCACGTCCTGTCTCGGCCGGGCACTAAAGAAGTTAGGCAAGACCTCCAGGACGAACTTGCGGAAGTTCTTAGTGACACGCAGAGCCTCCAGACAAGGCATTTAGTAGAGATGAGTCTGTGCCTGAATTCTAAGTCCCCACCCATCGTTCGGGCTGTTTCAGACCGCAAATAACCAGCAATACCGCAAACTCACTCTAAGGCAGGTAGGACCGATTCACATCTTTCCCACTGCCCACACCATCACGCGTGTGCACTATGCACAGCCGAAGGTAGCTCGAAAAGTCCCCTGCATTGTACAACTCCCGGGATTGGATGCTGTGCCATGTCTTGCAGGTCATCGTAAATTACCTGGAAAACTCGGGAGAGGTCGCGCATGTTGAAGAGGTAGTGGAACTTGGCCGGCGTTGGGAGCATCTTTGCCTTCATAGTACGCCACAGGCTGATAGTCACCTGGGTGAGGTTTCCTACCACCTGCAAGAGGGCATTGGTTCAACAATGGGCGGCGAGAGGAAGGTTGTCAGCTCCTACTTGTGCTCGGATGCTTTCTAGTTTGATGACACACGTGCCGGGATAGACGAAGGGTACGCACGGCAACGGCAACACTTTGGTAAGAAAAACCATTTTGGCTTCTGGCAAGAACACTCGAGCCGGGAATTGAAGACAACCATGATTCCATCATTCCTACCTTCATAACTTCTGCGTCGAAGCCGCCATCCTTGAACCTCCCCCTCAGCATCTGTCCGTAGATGTCGTTGATTGACGTGATACTTGGCAGCACTAGGTTGAAGATGAAAAAGTTTCTCTTGAGGCGGTTGGGGATGTCGTTCTTGCCGCCGCCTGGGTGGCCCATGGCGGCGATGTACTGCAAGTCCTCGCACACCTGCGGGGTGGCGGTGGTTGGGACGACGTTGTAGGAGCAGTAAGGATGTGGTGCGGCGATGAGAGGGCTAGGCGAAGCAAGCGACTCTTCATGACTCCCCCGAGCCGTCAGACATGAAGGGCTTGCGATTGGCCTCTATGTGTTGGTTTCTCTGCCGGTTGGACAGTTGCCCACCAACAATTGTCGATCTATCGTGTTCCAGGCGTTAATGTCAACCATACCTTGAAGTCTCCTCGTTTGTCCTTGTCCAGGAAGCAGAAGCCCCCCCATTCCACGATAAGCCGCACCATTTCCAGGGTGGGCTGGTCACCCCACGCGTTCACCTGTAGGAACAAACCCGGACACACAGGAAATCGAAGTGTTCAACCCGGGCAATGAAAAGGCCTACAGCTGCAAGCTCTCGAGTACCCTGAGCATGAAATGGCCAACAACCGCCCCCCGAGTTGCGAGGTCAATGGTCTAACGACTATACACGACTATGAGAACCCCCCCCCCTGAGTTGCATTCCCTCTACCGACCACTGTACCCACCTATCTCAGTTACCTCGCTCCACGCTGTGAGTCTCTAGAAGAGGATCCCTTCGGACAGAAAATGTACGACAATGGTCTTGGTCGAGTGTGTGCTGTCAACAAATTATCGAGGACCTCGCACATCATACCACCAAGTTTCAGGCTTGACGAGCACGCCGTAGTACATGAATCGTCTATCGACTACCTTCGGATCGACAACCCTGCCTAGGTATTGCCCTCTGCCCTGCATCTTCACCGTGATTTTGCTGGCACATCCCACGGTCTATCCTACGCACGGATACGATGACATCAATCAATGCCGTACGCATAATGGATCGAGTCTAACTGTACTTCACCTCAGGCATGGACAGGTCATCCATGAAGATGGTCATCTTCTTGCCACCGGGGGGACCGAAGTTCTTGCCTCCGCGCTTGTCCAGCTCCACCTCGATGGAGTTTTGGCACATGAACGGTGTTGTCGCACTCGAAAAGTTGATCCTGGAAACGATGGTGTCGGAGAGAGTGACAAAAGCATTGTTGCGCCAAATGGTTTACGCTGATATGCCAAGACAGGTCGACCGGATATTAACGGAAGCATCTTGATGTGGTTCGTAGACGTACGTGGAGGTGCAGCATTGAACGTTTGGACCAACACAGCTTTGGGAAGGGACCGTCTTCTATTCGCAGTGTGTGGCTGTCACGATCAGGCCGGGCTTTTTCGGGCACAAACCTCTTGACGGCGGTTTTGACAGGGTCCAGCTCAGTGAAGAACATGAGTGCCGTCGACGTCTTTGCAGTCCCCTCTGCCCCGACCATGAGCACCGCCTTCCTCTGCTTGTGCAGCATCCGCAGGAGGAACAGGGCACGCGTCGAGTCCATCGTGGGCACGAGCAAGTTCGAGAAATCGAGCACATCCGTCGAAGGGTACTCCCAAAGAGGGGGGCGCCACCTGCGGGAGGACAAACAGCGTTTGGAAATTTGTTTTTTGTGCGCGTATGTCGATGGGGACAAGTCGGAAAAGGTGAACGGCCTCCGTGTCCGTAAGCTTGGCATCAGGGTTTCCTTAATAGCCCAAAGTACCTTAGGACATCCACGAAGTATATCATGATAACGACGACACACAATGGAAGAGAGTCGAGCAACTTGATGCCGACGAAAGCCGAACCAGAACAATCGACTTTTGGAACATTTCCAAGCGGTTCACCGAAAGTTCAACCACCGACGCTACGTTGGAGCTCATAACATCGCTAATTCAACACCGGATGATGTATCATGACCATCGATAGGAAACTCACTTCTCCCATTCGAAGGTGCCCAAGTTGACGTAGTACTCGAAAATGGTCTCGCCTTCCTCCAAGTCCGGCATGACGTGGTTGTTGTCCAGAGCGCGCATCCACTGGTCGAACTTAACCCTGTTTTAACCCCGAGCCAAAAGTGAGAAGAAGACCCAAGGTTGACTTCCTACGTGGCATGTTTCTACACCGAAGAACGGGGAAATCGCTTCTGATGGGTCACTGCGTGCGACACAGGTTCTCATGCACATGGAACATCATGACCAGTGATGCTTCACCAGTTGGTCAAAGATCTCCGCTTCTCCGGGTAGGAGTCGATATATGTACGTGTCACGTGGCAGAGAAACTAGGACCCATATTGTCTCAATCGGTGCATATACAAAGAAAACTGATCCTGCAGCCCGACTCACTAGAAAATAGTGGACTGAAACTGCCCTTAAACGCGGGTGTTTTTAACGTGAATGTTAAGTTTTAGCCTACCAACCCACGAGTTGCGCGAAACATGCTTAGCCACCGACCTGTCTTCGAATTCAAGCAATCCGCCAACCGACCAAATGAGCGAGTAAACGAAGAGCTTCTCCAACTCGATGGCGAGGTTGGGTCCCAGGGTGGCGCAGCCAGCCCCGGAGGTCATTCCCGTGATGAGGTCACACAGTCCCGCAGTCACCCCGACGCGGCTAGCGGTCATGACCTATAAATGCATCGCCATCAAAGCATTTTTTCTTCGCAGGTCAAAGCATTTCTTCTAGGTGGGTGTTTGGAGGGAATATACTAGGCATACCATCGAAGAACTCAGCTGTGCCGGAGAAACAGATCCTGAACCATTGGCACACGGAAGAACATCGCATTGCAATGCTGCGACCCGGCAAGGGGTGAGATGGAATCTCGACAAAGGTACCAGTGCTGCAGATTCTCAAACGAAGACTTGCTTTGAGAAGGAACCGTGGAACAACTGAGGCCACACACACACATAAGGGTAAGCAGGGTTGTGAAAAAACACAGAACTCCTTGGTATAGATACGTTGCATTGTCGCCGCCGTGTTAACTTGATGACCACCGGCGAATCGCCTACACGCAAGATACCCGAACGTCGAAGGAAGATACTGTAATGCTGCATTGTTTCAGCCAAGTGTGTCAGCGTGTGGAATGCCACAGTATGCCTGGACCGTACCTGGTTTGTGTTGCGGTTGAGGAAGTCGATACAGTGCCCCGGGTTGGTGGGCTCACTCGCACCCATCCACCTGCCATCGAGACCGAAACACAACAGCCAAAACGTGACCGTTACTTTCAGTCGACCGATGTTGACTCGTATATGCTCCAATCTGTAAGGTAATCGGTGTACTGCACAAAACTAGCGGTCGGTATCGTCGCCTCTGCTGGATGATTCGTCCCCCTGATCGCGACCCTCGCAACCGCCATACATACCCCTGAGACTCAAAACAAGCGCAGCAGTAGGGGTTAACCCAGGTCGTGTGAACTGTGCGAGACAAGATTCTGCTAGGGAGCGTCCAAACCTGGAGAACAGTTCGGTGAATACCGGTTGCTCTGCCGCGGGCCGCTTCAAGATCCAGCCCTCCACTACGGGTGACCAGTCGAGGTCAGTGTCCGACACGAAGATGATGCCAGCTCGAGACACCGTTGCGGGAGAGGCGTTTACCAACGTTTCCACCTGAGATAGAAGTCAACAATTCGCAAGATTTATTGGGGAATAGACGTTTGACCGCTGTGGCATTCGTCATTGGCCTACCTTTCGGGGCGGAGACAGAACAAGGGCAGTAATGTGTCACCTGTGTGACCCGACCGATATCGTCTGACCAGATCTTCTAAGAGACAGATTCCATTTATGAACGTATCCTTGACATTACACGGAATGTGACTGCTGCCCATGCACCCGGTGTTCGGGCGATTACATGATCCCGGTTGGCATGGTCTTGTCCCTACCAAAATATCCTTGCTTGTTTCCCGCATCTGCAAGCCGTTCGTTTGCGTGCCGTCGCAGCGCGTCGTTCGTTTGCTACTTTTCCTTCACGAACGCGACCAACAACACGTGTAAACGTACCTCGAACATTGCCTTCACGTTGTCAGTCATGGGCATACGGTCTCCGTTGGCGAGGGTCAAGATCTTGTTGTCGTCGAGCACGGTGTTAAGGTCTTCGATCCAGATCGCGTCGACGGGGCCGTCGGCGATGATCCAGGTGTTGTACGCGTTCTGTCGGTTGTTGTACTTGGCCCACATAGCGGCGAAAACACCTGGGGCATGCCAGCCAGGTGCGCAACACGTGCATTTACGTCGGAATGAAATTGTGTCGCAAGACACCAAGGCGTAGTTGGGAGCACGCGAGACGGGGGCTTGTACAATTCCAGGTTGGTTTCCTGCCAAAACCTGTCACGGACAAAACCTACCACGGATCTTCCACCAAGAGTTCGTTCATGCCATCTCGTCGGAAATATACGTCGATGTTCGAGCTTACACGCGCGACGAGCAATGCCCACCACCGGAACTACTTTGAAGCAAATGGTTCGGGTGGGGAGCATGTTTTACTTGTCCGTATAGGCCTCCTTGCCAAACGGAGCTTCAACGTTTCCATCTTCCACGTTGTTGACCCAGAAACAAACATGCATGCTATAGTGGTGATCCGATATACTACGCACAATTATCTGACGGTTTCCAAAACAAACCGACCCCAGACAACGAAGAATAGAGCCTTACCCGTGTTCCACTCCCCAGTGGCGGGGTCGACCTCGCCGTACATCTCCTGAGCGCGAATGGCCTTCGGGTTAAAGCGGCTGTCTTTATGCGTTATCCCCGTGGTCTTGTCGAGGGCCATTCGCAGGGTGCGGAAGATCTTGGTCTTGCCCCCGCCGGTAGGTCCCACGAGCATGATACCGTGCCTCACTAGGGTGGTCTCGTAGAGCTTGTGGGGATCGAGGCAAGGGCGCCAAGGGGTACGGAACAACAAAAGGCATGGAGAAACGCCTAAGACACATACCGCTGCGAAAGGGGAACGCTTGGACAGGGTGCAGTGCCGTATCACGTCTGCTCATAAACACCCCCGCACGATGGGGAAATAGAGAGAGAGACAAGGCAGGGCAACGAAGATGAACAAGTTTCACAAAATAGCCAAGAACGAACTGAAAGCGACAAGCTCTTCAATGCCTTCGCGGGACGCCATTCTTACCTGAATAACCTTCGCTACCCAGCCTGCGTGGTATACTAGCCTTTCGGTTGCCACGGCAACCTGGTACGATTTTTCATGTGAAGGGGGGCAAAGACGGCCGGACGAGGACAGGGAGATAGATTGGTTGTGTGTTGTACACATGCCCATGTTGAACGGTAAAACACAACTTCAACAGATTCGTGGTTGCATTCTTGAAGCGGGGGTGCCAGTCGTACTTGGTTATAATAGCAATGGCAGCCGCCAATCAGATTCATGCAGTCTAGGGAGGTAATACGACGTACGTCCTATCGCTAAGCGTTCCCTCCGTTCCCTCGAAGTACACCGTCGGCCCCTACATGGCTGAGACTAAGGTACGATCGTAGCACACAAAATGACCACGATGGTTAAACTAATTGCTATCCTTTGTCGTTGCTAATCATTCGTCTACCCCAGCGAAATGACGTCCCCATCCCCATGCGGGTGGCGTACCTGAAGAGCAGCCTCAATCTCGGGGTATTCGCCCTTCGGCGGAGCGGGCGTCGACGGGAAAAGGTCAGCCAGAAGAGACAAGAAAAGGGGGACGTCCTGGGCGACGAGCTTGCTGAGGTTCATGTCTCGGAGAGTCCGGTACATGAGGAATGCCTCGGCTTTGTCGGGATTGTCGCGCTTCGTCTTCCCTGCCGTCCGCAGCACCTTCGCATGATTTTATGATCGTTTAGGCTGTTGATGTTCTGTGCATGTTTCGCTTGGTGGGGCGAGAAAAAATATAAGGTTGGCCGAATACCGCACCCAATGTGACAGTCGTAGCGAGACAGGTGAGCAAGAGCGTGTTGCCAAAATTTCAAAGATGCGAAATTTCCAGGCAACTTGTGGCTACGACTGTCTGAGTCGAGTTTCGAAACGAATGCGCTAATGGGCGTGGATTAGTAAATGTACCACGTGTTTTACTTATCATGCGCACGACTGCATTCGCGCGACAGCAGCTGAAACTCACGGCGAGGATATTCCTGAGCCCCCAATCGTAGTGCTTCTGGGCGGACAGCTGCTCCTTGCAGGTGTTGTACAGCACGAAGAACTTCTGGGACAGAATCTCAAACTCTGCGTACCCAACGGAACAGAGCTTCACCTGCGTACGTACATGCCAGGAAGTGACGGTGAGAGGCGACACATTATTAGCTTGCAGGGGTCCCAACAGTTCAGATGTTTGGACGCTTGCACTGATAATGTGGGCGGGATTGTATGAAAGCTTGACTTTGCGCGCACTTGCAACCAACCAATGAACATTCGAAATCCTGGGCAAAAGATAGGTAGTCTCCTGTGGGTGCACCCATTTAGACCCCAAAGTTGGATTCCGGAGCTAGGGCGCTCTTTTGAATGCATCTGTTCTCTACCAGACACGTTCTGCTTTGATATGTGATCCACTTGATGACATTTCTGACGATTTGAGTCAGCAAGGAACAATTTAGTAGTAGAACAAATATGCTTGTTCGAAGTGAACCAAGGCAACGGCAATGGTATCGCCGCCGCCGCCGACAACGACGACGACAACGATAACAACAACAACGACGACGACAACAACAACAACAAGGACGCAACATAATGTAACCCATGCCTTCATGATGATCTGGAAGTCTGGAACCATCATAGCCACCCCACGGAACAACGCCTTGAGGTTTTCAGGCAACTCTTGTCGCCCGGCGTAACCGGGGTTCATCGTGATGAAGAACCCACAGACAGGCTTGAGGAGGATGTTCTGAGGGTCGCCAGGGAACTGGAAGAACTGCATCCCGGTCTTCTTGGCGTTTTGGATCGCCAACACCTGGCGTCAAGGGGAAGGGTTACATGTGTTTGGCCATCTTCCCAGGTCCTCGTGCACTTGCTCTCATGCGACCGTCACTTTCTAGAAGTACAGTAGCTACAACAAGCCAGCGAGAGGAGGAAGTACGTGTTGAGGCGGACGTGACGGGACATTTGTCTTTTGCTGGCGGGTTGCACCACTTCCACCCCGTCTTCTTGTGTTTTTGAACCACACACCTACAGGCAACGAACACTGGCGGGATTCGTTTTCAGGTCAATGGTGCCATTCTTTCCCCGTCTCTTGTGTTCAACATCTGCAACTTCGATCGCAACAACAGCAAGATCCCTGACGATCAACTCATGTACTGGCGTGGTGCAAAGCAAGAACGATACATCCGGTGTACGGGTAAACCGGGAGAAAACGCACACCTGCTGGGCCACCACGGAGAGCACGGGCAGCAGGATGCGGTTGAACTCGTCGAAGCAGCCCCACAACCCTCCCTGGCACAGCCCCTTGAAGATCTTGGCACAGTCGGTGTACTTTTGCTGGTCGGTGCAGTTCGTCACCACCTACGGAAATTCCGCACGATACGTAATGATGATAGCGTTGTTAGCACCGATGTTGACAGCAGGTGGGTTGTTGGGTGTGATAAGGCATTATTTTCGGCGACACTCCGCGAGGTGCCTGTGTGTCGCTTCTAAGGGCAGGGGATAGCGTCCTGCCGTTCGTATCTATTCCTTTACGTTGTTCGACCAACATCGCATCAGTCAACAGCTCCGCACTTCTTTCGGCGTGAAAGAAACATTTGCGAACGTGCATTCACTCGTATCATCCACCAGTATTCGTTTTAGTTTACTCGCTCTCACCACAAAGATCCCGAGAGCGCGTCCGAGGTCTTTGACAGACTCAGTTTTTCCGGTCCCCGCCGGTCCTGCCGGGGCACCGCCGAAGTACATGCCCAACGCTTGCGCAAGGGTGATGTAGGCCCTGTACATTTGATCGAAACGAGGTTCACGGAGGAGGTAGGGTCACTTAACCTATTGAACCTTGTTTTTTGGGTTACTAAATAACGACCGCTTGCCTCGTCACAGATGGGTCACGGCAGAGACATTGATAGACAGAAATCGAGGGCTGGTTGACAACATCAGAACAACCCCCTTACCTATCGGTCAACGGCGTCACCACCAGCCGCTCCTTGGAGCCCAGGTACTCGAACTGGTAGTTGAAGTCGACGTCGGTGATGGCGATCACGCAAGCGCCGTCGTCATTGACGTCGTCCGTAGAATTGGGTCTCCAGTAGAAGCGTGCCTGGTGGTTTTGTCAAGGAAGAGGCGAGTTGCGGGGGGAAATTGTGAGAAACAATGGCGGGTGTACGACATATTCCGCAAGGACAACTCTGAACACACACGGTAGCACAACAGTAGAACCTGCTTCTGTCGGTTACACCATGCCTGGAAATAGACGACATCCATTCATGGTTTGTGTTGGATAGTTTCAAGCGTCATGCATTGCAAATGTGCTCGCCGAAGAAGTTTTGCGTGAGGTTACGGCTGCAAAGCCCTACATATTCAGACGAGAAGCCCTCCCGATTGCGTTGAATTTGCGAGTGCTGCCGTTTTACGACGTATGTTGACGATACCTGCTTGAGCCATTCGAAATCGTTCGCGTCTGAGATGCGCTTGTGCCTGTGCAGGGTGGCGAGGTCGTTCATGACGTCCCTCTGGTGTACGTGGATTGTCACGAGGGTCTCCACCTGTGATATAGCGACAACATTGGGCAGGCGGAAATGTTAGACCGGGGTAATAAGGTCATAATTTGATGTGCTGACCACAGAAGCACGTCTTGCAGCAACAATGGACCAATGGTTGACCTCCCGTGGGTTGTTTGGAAGACGGACGCCAATAGATTCTTCCAAGGTTGTACGACATAGATGGTCATTCAAATTTTCACCTAGCACGATACCGAGTGCGATTGGGTGTTCTGCGCCTTACGTTGCTATCTCTGTGTTTGATCACTCCTACATGCAGGCAGGGTTTTGAACGACCCGAAAGCGAGCTCAAATCCAGCACGCCTAGACCACCCGTCTCAATGGTTCCTTCCACGTATGCAGTTCGGACAGAACATTTACAGCACAAATATACTACCTCCGTGCTTTACAGATGCGCGAAGCCACCAAAGGTTACGAACACGTTTGCAACGTGGAGGTCTACCAGACGCGCAATCTCACCTTGGTACGGTTTGAAGACGAACCCAAGTCCTGCAAGCACCAGCTGGACATTTCCCTCAGCACTTCGAGCTGCTTCTGGTTGGTCTCCTTGATAATGTTTTTCTTTTGCCGGCACTGCGGGTGGATGAGCGGGAAGGACGTTGACAAGAAAGATGCATCGGACTCAGTGGGTGGTGATTGTTGCTTTGGCATTTGGCAATCACTCATTTGATTACGCTGTTGCTATCGCTCTTGCGTTTGGGTATGCATTTCTCTGGTTATTGTCGCTGTGAATGTCAAGCCAACAACCAGGCGTCTTCGTCAACCAGCATACTCTGTAAGTCACACACAGATCGAGTAGCTCGTTTTCTGTATAAAAATGCTCAGACACGTGGTACTTAACACCATCCCTCGTTCCCATACATCACCTGTATGATGTTTCTACAATCTTGTTACCGGCTACACGGTCCTCTCACGCCCCATTTCTAGCTGCCGCTAGATACAGCTACAGAGTCCAAGACTACCCTATGCACACAAGAGCGAATGTTTTTGCCTGAATGCCGAACCCACCTGCTCTAGCGCCGACTGCACGTCTGTGGTCCACATGAGTTGGACGCCGAGAAGGGCGAACTGCGCGTAGGAGCTGTCCACAAAGCCTCGGAGCCGAGAGATGTCCGAGCCGACATTGGCGACGTCCGCGGCGCAGATCCGCGTCAAATCCTTCATAGTCAGCTGATAGTGGGAAGGGCGCAAAACACAGGAAATCACAGGAACGTTAAAAGATGTTTGACCATGTTGAATGTCCGTGCCGATGGTGATCGCCAGGAGATGGACGGGCGGACTTGGGCCAATGCACCAAAGGGCTCATCGTAAGACGAAACGGCACATGACCATTTGGAAGCAAACTCTCTTTTGTGCCATTTCAGTTACTAAAACGTTGGCGAATGTGGAGCGTCTATTATACAATCATCGTACACCATCGCACAGCACGAAGGAAGATTTTGTTCAAGACGAAACAATGCCCAAAGATGAACCATCTACGTATTCATCAAACTTGGCCACGTGGGGGCCAAAGCGGGTTTATCCTCGAAAAACAGCGTTCTACATTTTCCCAGTGCTTCGGAAGGAAGGTGAGAGAATTCTTCTCCCACACCTGCATCTTGAACAGGAGGTCGCAGAGCCAGTCCTCGATGTTACCCTGAGCCTTGACGGCCACGCTGAAAGGAATCGTTTCCGCGCCGGCCCCTTGGCCGTTCATCTTCTCGATGATCTGCTTGTCGGTGAAAAGGTCATAGACACATGTTAGTGGTAACGAAATAAATTGGCCACCTTTTTGTGGTGGTCGTAACTCAAGTCTTCCTGTGGAGAGAACAAATGTCATTTTGCACGCGGTGTACTCGAAGCTTGCGGGTGCTGTGTAGCACAAGTGCTTTTTTTCGGTGCCCCACCGTTCCTGGAACATGTGCACTACAACCAGCACCCTGTTCCTACTTGCCTGCTTGTCATTCTTGTTGTGATGCACCGTGGAGATGGCATCGAACACCTTCTCGTAGTGGTCGTTCATGCTCAGTGGGTCGCTGCCCTGGGACAGGATGACCAACAGCCCTGAGCAGCGTGCAGACAAGGAGGCGGGTGATAATCAAAGCCCAAAGACGTGTGCGTGGGGCCTCGGCAGGACTCGAGCCAGCCTGGATCGCTACAGAACTAGCCGGGGGTGCAGGGAAAACATATCATCTTTGATACTATAAGCATCGATACTGTGATACCCTACCGGGGTTGGAGACGAAGTAGAAGCGGGGGAACTTGTTCCTCTTCTGCTCCAGGTAACCCTCCAGGCTCTTTTGACACTTCTCCAGCTCCGTGTACATCACCTGGCGAAACGTACCAACAATTACCACCGGATGTCTGTTTCAAACGACCTCATTCAACTGGTCCGGTGCGCTGGTTGTCGCGTGAATCGGCCGTGTGGGTTGTTCTGCACGAGCCACGCACCACCATTTTTGCTTTTTGGACACTCTTCGATTGCTTTGCACGGGTTCGGTGTTGGCGACTATGGTCGACATGAACTAGTTCGTGTCTTGCGACATTTCGATTCGTAACGGGAATCCTAGCAGACAGGTCTTCAAGGTGCTAGAAACATCGCTCCCGCACCGACTAGATGTGTCGCCACAGATTATTCATTATTGGAAGATCTTTGTTCATCAAGTCTACAGCGTTGTACGCAGAGGACTTACGGGCAGAGACGTTCGGAGCATCTCGTTAGCCGCACATTCGCACACATTGCCGGTTTCCGTTGCCTTCGCCATTATTTTTGCCTGTGTGCGGTTTGGTCGTTGGACGGGACCACGTGCAGCGGGACAACATTATAGCCAATACATTGTTGCTGTGTTGCGGGTGTAAAGGATCGAACACATGCCCTGAGAAGCTGCGATGCAGAAGCAGGCAGTTGTGCAAGTAGGTCGAAGGATTCGGATGAAACAACCAAGATACAAACTAACATCCGGAGAAGCGATACAGTCGAAAATGACGACAGTTCCAGCTACGCAACACATCAACGAGACAGCAACAGCAACAACGGCGACGACGTTGGCAGCCTCACATTTACGTGATGGCAAGGAACTTCACCAGAGCAACCATTGTTGTTGTTGTCTTCATATCTAAAACCGTTCCGGTCCTCTGGTCAGTATACCTTCAAAATTTCGTACCAGTCCAACTGATGCATGTGACAATGTTTTATTTTAGGAAAGTAAGAAGCCTCAACATGTTTGCCATTGCTTGCTCACCCAGTCCTTGTCAATCTTTGCGAATTTCTTTGCCTCCATGGGCATCTGCTTGGCAATGTCGCCGCCGGTGAACACAGACTCCAACGAACACCACATCATTTGGACCTTCAGCCTGTTGGATCGAACGTCGGAAGTACAACGGGAAAACGATTCTCCAGTGCGTTCACATGCCCTTTTCGCTACCGGAAGACTCGAGATACACTTGAGTTAACAGCAGAACCTGGAGAATGTCCAACCCACTCCACGCCCAGTACTCCATTCGGCGACCACTAGAAGATAATACCCTATCTACGCTGACATAGCTCTCAGTGTGGTTGGGATTCGCAAATCGGCGTCGAGCGGATGGCGCAAGAGGTCTCCCCAACTCCAATGCTGAATTCGACGGCCGTGTTTCAGTCCCCGGTTTCGTCGAGACTCTAGCAAAAAACCGAGACAAAACAAGCATGACACCCATATCAGCATCCTAACCTGGCTTTCTAGGGCTTCGCACTCCTACACCTTCAGCGTATGGCTGTTCTGTGCATCGGTTTAGAAATACTCACCATCGCTCTAGGGTATCGGACGTGTCGCTGAGGACCTGCAGCTCGTTCTGGGCCTCCTCGCGGAAGGGCGTCACGTGCCTCATCGAGAGCATCGTTTGAAGGTTCATCTGTGAGCACCAAAACGTGGTGTATTCGGTGCGTGTTGGCGAGGGAGCTTCTGGTGTCTGGGCATCACAACATCGTTGGGCAACTCCACTCGTGGTCGATTTCGTTTCTGTCCGTTTTTGGGAGCTCGGCGAGCTTTTCTTTCGATACAAAGATCCTTCTGTAGGAAATTTGGCTTCAAGAACAACCCACGAACAACGTGTTTGTTTCGCCCACATTGCAGGAAATTCTGAGTACACGGTTCCATTTCTGGATAGACAGCCACAACGAAAATGTTCCGAGCAGAAGTTGCACGTATGTTCCTCGTTCAACGTGTATCGCAGCCATCCACGCCTCTGCTCGCCTACGTTCCCTTGCTGTTTCTTCTTCACCTGCTGTATGTGCAGAACTTCAGACCAGCCCTCCCACCGATGAAAAACACACTACAACAATAGCACCCAAAACCCAATGTTGTCGCAAATCAACAAGGACAGGAGAATCGAACCTGAGCCTCTTCCAGCTCCTCGACGATGGTGCCTGTCCCCTTGAGCACGTTGATCCCCCTCCCCTTCCACTCGCTGAAAACGAACGACTCTGCCCCCCACTTCTCGGTGATCTCCGCCAGCCCAACCTCGATTTTGAGCTGCTTGTCGGCCCCCTCCGTGATCTCTTCGATGTACTGCTCCACCGCAGGGTTGGGGTGCGGCTAGGGTTAGTGTCAAGGCTATGGTTCGCCGTGGTGGAATAGTGAGAGACCCGCCCTTTTGGGGTGTTGAAACTGTTTCTCGTATGATAGGACGCGTAGAAAAAAGCGGCAACTAGGGTTTCTTTGCTGCAATCGGTTGTGCACGACTTTCCATGTTTTCTGACAGGCAACAACGGCATTGAGTGTTCGTTCTGTTCGCCAACGGTGGTGTAGAACGTATCGTCAGAAGGGAGAGGATGCGCCCAAAACACCGTGTGGGCAAGCCATCGGTGCATTAGGTGCGCCCAATAGTTCGCCTTGCACTGAACGAGTGCTCCTTTCCACAACACCCCGAGTAGTGCACCGAGGAAAACGTGAAGTGGGCGTCCAAAGGAGCTCAGTTAAGGCTGGGGAAACCGAGTCTTGCGGCCAGGGTGCCCCTCTTTTACTTCTGCTCTCTTTCATCCCTCACGATGGCAAATACAACACACCTCCTTCTTGTCGACCATTCCAATTTCCAGCAGTGTTTGGAGCCGGAACTCCGGCCCAACTTCGAACTCCGATCCGGTCACCTGATTCGGCAGAGTAAACGAGGAAGCGACATTCCAGGTTTAAGGGTGGTTTGTTTCTCCGTGCCTTTCAATCCTTGGTCGTTCAGTGTCGTTGAAAAGGTTTGCGGCACAGCAATAGCACCAAATACACAATACATATGCTTCCGTTGCCATTAGTGGCTGAAAGTGAGAGCGCCATGTGACATGAGTAGACTATGTTTGAAGGCGTTGGAAGTTGTCGACGATTTCCGAAGAGCATTGTCATGAGCCAATATGTAGCTGGTTATCAATTACCTCCATGACTTCGACCCAGTGACGAGGCTGAATGGAGTCTTTGCTTAGCTCTTGTAGGAGGGGCAAGACCGTCAAGAAGTCGTCAATGTCGGTCCTGTGTTTTGCACCAGAGAGAGAGAGAGAGAGAGAGAATCGGTCTTCTCTTGAGCAGCGAACTGGTTTTATGGTGTTGTCATGTAGCAGGCGAGCCGAACGAGTAAGACCTCTGTCCACACCCGGCTTCCCACGCAACCTTCGAGGCGTAGGCTTCAGTACCACGTCCCGAGATTCATAAAACTCGGCCCTAATCACGAATTCTCTCTTTTCCCTGGAGTTTCGTTTGTGAGTTCGTGCCAACCTTAGCTGGGTGAAGGCATCCCACTGCTTCAGTCTGCCCGGTAGTTTCTTGCAGCGGGCAGCAAAGTTGTCCATCTTGTCGGTCATGTTGGCGATGTTCGACACTACCTCAGTCCACGGCACCTGACTCGATCAGATGGGCAGAAGGAAAAAAAAAACACCACAAGAAGAAATACAGAGGACAACGGTAACAGCGGAGGACACGGAGGGGTGGATTTCAAGAGATAAGCAAAGGAAGAGTTCAGGGTGGGGCGTAGATAGCGAAGTTGCGGCTCATGTTGGCGACCTTTGATACCAACTCTGAACACCGTTGGTACCTGACACACAGCTCATCCGGAACCGAAACTGGAACTCACATGCTTCCACTCTCCCAGTGTTTCGAGCACGTCGACGTAAAGGCCGAACAGCTGGTCAGAGAGCTTCAGCTCCTGTGGAGGAAAGCCAGGACAGCAGAATGCCCAGAGCAGCAGGGTCATGTAACCACACATAGATTGGCGGTGGCGAAATCAATCATAGCCTTGCCCAACGATCGGCTTTCTTACGGATGTGCGTGAACTCGCCTGTAGGGTTGAACCGATTGAGAATCATATATATCAGGCTGACAGGAAATAGGCATGTTTTAGCACCGCGGAAAGGTTCCGACAAGTTTTAGCTGTCCATAACAACTCGCGCGTAACAATAACCCATTCAACCGAACAGGATAAGGAGTCTTGAGAACACACCTCCCGCCCTACACTCAGACCTTGATGCTGCGATCAGTCCGAGGAAAGCCTCCCCCAGAACTGAGAGAGCTCTCAGCGCCAACGGGGGAGTATCCTTCAGGCGAGGAGTCCTGCGACCGCGGCAGAAGGACTCACCAAATCCAATACATACAGTAACTGAACCGCACCGAAGAAAATAGTACATATTGTGTGAATGCCGTGAATTGGCATACCTTTCTGGTCTTTTCCAGGTCGGGATACTCCGTCAAAGGCAGGGCGAACAGCTCCTCGCCCCCTGCACGACCGCGCACACAACGGCAGGAACAGCGAGTCAGATGAGGGGAACGCAAGCGAAAACCAAGGAGTGTGGTGGACAGTGGTAAGAAGAGAACAGATGGTTCGGAAGCAAAGGCCGACCTTAAGTTCTCAGCTTCTTACGAGGTCACAGTTATCAAAGCAACGTGCTCTGTTGCGAGAGATGTGCGGCCGCGACAGTAGCACTGAAACTTTTAAATCTGTACCAAATATCTTCTCCACTCCCGCAGACCTCTGACTGTCAGTCGCTTGCCACAACTCACCTGTGTAGAGCTCGTGCTTCCTTTCGCGTATCTTGGATTCTTCCTTGAAGCGGTTAAGCCTCTCCACTGCATCCATTGGAGGAATACCCTGACGACATGCACGCAGGGATTTGGGCCGGATGGGAGCGAATTTTCGGTCGTTATACTTGTAACACTCGACAGTATTCCCTTGGCACATCCGTTGAACTCATGTTCCGTTGAGGGTCATTGAGTTCCGTTAAGAACGGGAATAGGTTTGATGAAGGCAAAAAAAAATGTGTCACAAGTCAAACAGCAATACATCCAGATCGTTGACTGGCAACCTACCATATGTTGAAGTAGCAAATTTAGGTGAAAAAATTCGACACTGGTCTTGCGGGAAATCAACTCTGAACTTTGTATTTTACTGGAACACGCGATGTGGGACACGAGAAAACGGAGCGCGTGAGATATCGCAGCACTGGGTGGAGGGAACGGGGCATGCTTATGTCTACCAGCAATCCTACGGCTGTAGACACGGACCCGAACTCGTAGTAGTCGCACACGCCTATCACCAACACACCTGAACCATGGGTCCGTCTCTCACGAAGTCGGCCCGGAACTTGGTAACGTCCTTGGAGAAGTCGCGGATGTCGCGGATGAGCGCTCGCTTGAAGCTGATCTGAGTCTTGCTGAGCTCATCCGCTCGGGACTCAGCCTGATTGCGCCGTTTTTGTTTCAAGCACGCACCAGCAACAGTTGAGACGCACAGGCACCCAGACAGAAAACGACGAAAGGGGTACAGTGTTTGCATGGGCACAGCTTTGGACAGAGTACATGAACTATATTTTCTTAGCTCGGTTTCGTCTTCACCGAAGTGCAACCAAGTCGCACGATGCTTGTGCACGTTTTCGAAACCATGGCGTTCTTCGCGACGGGCTGCCCATTGGAGAAGCAAGGGAACCAAAATGCACAATCACAAACGTTAAGTCTGTGTTGTATCTCGCTGAGCCTTTGCACCGGTTGTTCTTCTTGGACGTTTTTGACGGCAAGACCCAGATAAGCCGTTCAGAGACCCGGAACGATACATACTGTGCACTCGCCAAGATGATCCGGAAAACGCTAGTAGCCCCAACTTGTCATGCCGCGCAAGCGAACGTAGGAGTCCTCGTCTTGAGGGTCAAGCGATAGACAGATTCATCAGCCATGTCCGAGCCGGATCTAGGAAAGCTCACCTGCTTGATCAGCTTCTTCCAATTGGTACGGATGACGGTCTTCTTGTCGATCTCCTCCTTTTCCATGAAAGAGTTGCCCAGGTGATGCTCCAGCATCTGGATGGACAACGAAGTTAAGTATGCTTTACACCGAGGCTGACACATAGATTCAGGCTCAGCAGTGCAGCGGAAACCAAATATGCTTCTCAAAACAGGGGGAATCGACGGTTTCCACTGTACGCAGAAAATTGTCGTGGTTTGGACAAACAACTTTAGTGTTGTTTGGCAAATGCACGGGCCAAGGGCCGTACAAACTGCCAGGCTTACCCTGTATCCCCGCGTCTCCGCTTCCTCCCCATTCCTGCTCCCTTATGTAGCCATTTTCCTCCTCCTCAACCTTACGTATTACTTTATTGGCTTTCGATACCATGGCACGTCCTCACCTGATACATGTTCATGATCGGATTGATCTCCATGTTGATGCCAGACTCTCTCTGTCGGACCTCTTTGAGCATGTTCATCATGAAACGCAGGCCGTCCAGATCTCGCACCTCCTTCTTCAGTTTACCCATGGTCACCTGTACGTTGAATTACAGTGTTCGCCAAATACGGGGAGACATCAGGCCAACGCAATCAGTGCCCGAAGACTTGCAACCATCTAAACTTTGAGACGGCGATATGTAGCCAATACCATGACCACCACAGTTACAAAAGATCCATGGAAGGGTTTTACGCCCTCCACCTCTTCGGATACTCGAAAACATACTTCAAACGTTCGGTACCGGGGTATATCTTGTGACTTTGCGATATCTGCTGTTCTCCTTCTGAAATGAGGACGCGTGTGGTCAGTCCCTCACCCCATTCGTCGCGGCCATCCATTTGTACTCTTTGACCTGCCAGCGTGGGCTCTCGCAGATCCTGCCCTCTGCATGGCCACCATGAGTAGACATGGATACTTTACAACACAGGCGGAATTGGACGCCAATTACAGCAAAATGTTCTCGAAAAGAAACTGGTAGTTCAGGCCATGTCCCCGCATACACACCCTTTCTTATCCTTCTCACCCGCATGTACTCCGTGAGGCTCTCTAGGCTGTCCTTTGCCTGCCGGTGTAGGTTCTGGCAATACTTGGTCTTCCAAGCGGAGCATTCCCGCTTCAGCTGGCTCTTCAAGCTGGAAGTGTTGAGGCTCAGTGCTCCCATGTTATGAATCGAACCTATCCTATCTGTTGGTTTCCAACATTCCCAAACACCGGTCAAAGGGAAGGTAGGGGGTTGGAAGGGGTGAAGAGGCAAAGACCGGAAGAAAGCTATCAATGGGGTTGCAAGGCAGTTGGGATTGGGTTGCACAAGACTGTTGGTTGAGAAAATGTGTTCGGGCGATATAACCCGACACCAAATGAACCACAGTGGCAGCTGAGGCCAGTCCAACCTAGCACAGGCTCAATCATTGCCCAACCCCTCTTGGGGGGGAAACAGCGGTACAGGTGTTCCGGGGTCAAGGGCAATAAGTTGACGTCCTATTCTGAACTTTCTTCAAGCATGAGAGAGAGTTGGTGAATAAACGGTTAACGCCAAACGGGTGTGTGTCTTTTGCATGCCGTCGTTCTCGCCTATTTCGTCCTCCGTGGCGCTGAAGGTCTTGAGCTTCGCCTCATAGTGGTCGAGACTCGGGTTCTTCGACATGAAGTCGTCGTACGCCTCGTCCTTGTCGTCTTTCCACAGCCAGTCGTAGCCGCCGAAGGACAGGAGGTAGTCGTTTACCGTGTTCCGGATGCCCTGAACAGAGCGATAAAAAATACGAAGACGAATTCCGGCGTTTGGTAGGATTGCGCGAGGCCAGTGCAGCATGCTACGGAGCCTTTATTCCTGATGGAAACCCCTGCATCTGTCTATCTGTCTGTATTTCTCTCTGTCTATCTGCCTGCCTGTCTGTCTCTGTCTGTCTTATCTTTCTTTCTGTTTGTTTGTCTGTCTGTCTGTCTGTCTGTCTGTCTGTCTGTCTGTCTGTCTGTCTGTCTGTGTGCCTCTCTCTCTCTGTGTGTGTGTGTGTGTCTCTCTCTCTCTCTCTCTCTCTCTCTCTCTCTCTCTCTCTCTCTCTCTCTGTTTGTCTCGCTGACCTGGATGCACCCGGTGAGGAGCAGTGCGACTCTGACGATCTCGATGTCTTTGGTAATCCGTTCGAAGAAAGTCCTCACAGCCTTCTGCCCGGCCGCCGCCATGATGCCAGCCCCCTCCGTGGGATTCGTCGCGTCCCAGTCGTTGACCTGTCAGTAGAAGATTGCAGAAACCCGCTTCGCTTGGCGTAATATACAAACCTTGAAGTGACAACAGTTCCTGGTTTGCATGGTATTGCCATCACATTGGGCAATCCAACGCCATTTAAAAGAATAATCATCACGTTGCGAACCTCGATTTGATCGGGGGTTGCATACTGGTAGAAAAGCAGCATCGTGCCTGCAGCTTACCTGCTTGAAGCAGCCGAGGATAGCCTGCGCGCTTTTGTTGATGCAGCCCTGGATGTCGTCTAATGACGGCATCAGACTTACCCTTGCCGGAGGCTCCAGCTGTACATCGACCTGGGGCAAGCGCAGAATACACGACATAGTTAAGAAAGTAACGCGAACCAACGAAAACGGCAACGGCAACGACGGCGACGACGACTACGACGGCCCTGACGTTTTAATTCCAACGTCCCCTTGCAGCCCTATTGCGAGCCAGCGCGCCATATGTTTGCAGATGGGAAACGTGCAAGCCTAGAGCAAAGGCATTCAAAACACTTGCGAGACAGGCACGGCCTTGAGCGTGGTGCTTGACGCGGTTGAACTGTTCCTAGTAGCGAAACGACTGTTCAACCCAACAACGTAACGGTAAAATAAAAACAAACGAAAATCCCACCTCGAAGAAAGGCTTCTGAACGAAGAGGAAAACCCCTGTCCCGCCGGTCCTGGACTGTATTCGGTTCTTGAGCATGTTCATGCTGTTCTTGGCGCAGTGAAGTAGCGCCTGCAGTCGGGCGTTGTTAGAGTAAAACGTGGTACATCGGGTGGTGCAGCACGGATGGGTTTGGCTTGTAGAGGCGCAAACGGAGCTGAATACAGAAAACAAGCACTACGAGCCAGCGAGCCCCGAAGAATGGTATGGTGGCAGTAGAACCTCGATTTGTCTTGGTTGAGCGGAGGAAAGTTGTGAATGTATTCCGAAACGATCTGCGAGGCCGTGCCAAATTCACGAGAACGCTGTTCATCACAAACGACCTCGTCTTGCGACGAGGAGGACCGAGTTGGAAAAGGGAGAAGGAGAAAAAATAATCGAGAGGCTAGGCGCATATGCCGGGAAAAGATCCCAGGGCGCAGAGAAAGAAGCCCTGGGGACATAGAAAGCATCGCATCGAAATCTTGAGTGGGAAGCCAAAACATTAGGTGTCCTGGCCCTTTCATCACGAAAATGGGCTACGTTTGTCTTGTTTAGAAAACACTACGAAAAGGAACCCCCTTGCCTGATACATGAAGTGGTTGTAGTGCTTCTTGAGCTTGGTAACCTCCTCCTCGCTGACCGTCTCCAGGTGGTCATAGAGGGGATGAGCCCTGACGATCTTGATCAAGTCCTCCACCGCGTGCAAGATTTCAACATTTTTGCCCTGTTCATGCGAGAGAGAGAGAAACAGCAGGACCGAAGCAAACACACAACGCCGTACGATTGGCATGGGTTGATCAATTGAAACTTTGCACTCAAAGGTACGGCCAGTGTTAAACACAATGTGACACTTGGTTTCATCTTTGTAGGCAGGCAGACCTTGACCAAACAACCATTGCGCCACGATTTAGTATTATTGATCGTGAGCAGAATAACAGTCCAAGTGTTCTGAATCAGACCCCCACAACGTTTGCCATTCCACCGGCGTAACCTTCCTGTTTTCGCGTGCGTGAGTGCGTGAGTGTGTGCATGCGTGAGCGTATCTGTACGACGAAAGACCAACAACGGCATGCCCGTAGTGTACTTGTGCCGCTCAAGCTGTGAGTGCTATTGGGTTTGTGTTCAGAGCACTCTCAAAGCTCACCTGCCGGGAGGGAAAGGGCAGATGGTAATGAGAGTGATGGTGCACCGCATTTACCGAACGATTCATCCTCGTGTCTCGAATGGCATTTACTCGAGAACAATTTGACGCTCGTCCCGATTACAAAAGCACCCGCACCTGGAGCAACCGTGACCTCGTCACAATGTGTTTGCGCTGCATGTCGACGAACTCCTGCACAGTGAAGCTCTGGTCGTCCGGCAGGTCGACGAGGAGAGTCTTGGAAACGATCTTTAGGTTCTTTTCAATCCTGATGTTTCATTTCGGTGGTTCAGGACGCAACAAGAATGACGGCGTGCATAGACGTGAGCCAACAGTTGTAGCCTACGTGCTCAAGCTTTGTTGGGATCGATCTTCACGTGGGTTTGAACGTACCGAAAGACAGCAACTGCTTGGTGTGTACCGTTGTCTTGCGCCCAGGGCAAAGAAAACTGCCACCTATGGATCTGGGAGAGAAAACGACGCTGTACTAGTACATACAGTAGTACTCAAATAGAAAAAATAGACAGTATCGTCTTGCGCTTTGTAGAGCCGCCATTAGCAAGGATTGACATAGATATAACGTTTGTTTACTCTTTCTTATGCTTTGACGCCGATCGGCCATGTCATCACGTTCGTATGCATACGGTACCTTCGCAGCCGGTGTATGTACCTTCGTTTACTGGACTTAACTCTTGCCTACATCGAGCTTGACCAATTTAGTGATACATCCACAGTTTCATGGTAAGGATCAGAGCGAGATCTGCTGACCTGTTCTCGACAATATCGTTGATGTTGGACACCAACTCTTCCAGCTTTTGGAGCCCGTGGTGCACCTAGCATCGAGTGAACGTACGGGAAGGAGGCAAAGAAGACAACAACATGAACAATCGTGGCGGTGAAGGTAGAAAATAATTCAATCCAGTTTGTCCGGCTGCTTTTTGAGAAATATGTGCGAAATCTGATCGTGTTTGGGCATGCAGGAAAACTACTCTGAACCCAAATTCCCGAAGAAAAATTTACGGGGAGCGGTCTGCTGTATCAATGTAGGGAAGGTTATGAAGTAACGAAGGACGGGCATTGAATTGGGAAAACTTGCTTGATCAAGGGAGAGCACAAGCATGCAAAGATGGCAGAACAGGCGCTTGGAAGCTTGCCAAGGTCGAATGGAGAAGCACAACGCATTCAAAAGCGTCACCTGTCCCTTGTAGGTATCGATGTTCATGCTTGTCCACGTCAGCGTGATCATCCCCGGCCTCAGCTTGTACTCCATATCGTTAAAGTGAGGTCGCAGGACCATTGCGGTCACAGGGATAACCTTCGTTTCAGTGGCCATGAAGTGAGAACGAACGGATGAGAGCACGGAGGGGTGTCCACAGCGAGATGGTTTGAACCGACGACGTCGTGGTTGATGGCAGCTACACACCCACCACGTTTTCGTAACCGGGGAAAAGGGTTTCCAAACTCCATCCATTAATCGGGGAGGAGGGAGAGGGAACATTGTCCCTCTTGCTTATTCTGCTGGTGCTGCTGGTGTTGAGCGTTCAACATCGATACAAGAGAAGTTGGGAGATGTCCACCTAAGTCGTGAACCTACACACTAGACCGCACCGTTCCTCTGCCAAGACGCTATTTCACTCGGCTGGGATCGTCCGGCACCTCACCTTCGCTTTCAACTATTACTCCCGGAATGCCCTCATCCGTCCATGACCCGTCTCCGAGGAAAGGACAAGTACCTAGGCAACGGGTGGAGCAACCATCCAGCTTGATACCCCCCCCCCCCCCCCCTATGCCTCCGTACAGTAGCCTGTAAAGCATTGAAGTACATACCTCGGTCACAACGCGATCATACTCGGTTAGGGCCCAGTGGAGATCGTGGTAGTAGCTCTTGAACTTCACTTCCTGTGGGGGTTGTGTTGTCGTGTCGTGTTAAAACGGAGGGGGGGGGGACTGGTGCATTTCGTGACAAATGTGGAAGAAGATCGAGGCAGCTCGAGAGGTACACAGCTCTTTCAGCTCCCGAAAGCCATGATAGTGGCTAGAGTCGCTAGTTCAATCCACGATGGATGTGTGGTTATTCCGTGTTTCACATTTAGTAGTCGGAGAGTTGGAGGGCTAAAGAGCAATGGTTTGTAAGTATAAATAAACTTAAGGGAATGGCGGCTGAACCCTTCTCGTGTTGGATTTTTAACAAGTACCGCAGAGAAGTTCTTCTGTGTGGGCAAGGCCGTAGGGGAGTGACGAATTGGGGAAGGATTTATCAAAAACTGTTGATGCGGAAGAGATTGTGGCACGTTGGGTGACAAATAACTCTCCCCCCGCCGAGAAAAATTAGAGCAAGTAGAGAACGCTCAAGTGCAAGGCGACCAGTTTCAAGATTAGGCTGTGTGCTGGTGTTGTTGCTGTTGCTGGGGGTGGTAGATGTTTATTTTTGTTTTCGTGTAATAGGTGCTATCGTCGTGGTCGTTTTTGGTCGACGTAGTAGTTGAGGGGTGTTCACGAAGCAACCCCGCGTGATTGAGCACACGAATAATTGAATTTTGTTGAATTAATTTCCGTGTCAATCTCTCAACACAACTGCGTTGTTTCTAACCTGGAACAAGGCGATCTTAGCCGATTCGGGAATCTCTATCCCCATGCGGTCGAGAATCTTGGCCTCTCTGATGAGCTGAAGAATCTCCTGGTCGAAGTTGACGTACAGCTTACCATCGTCCGGGTGACGAATGATAAGCGTCGCCTGTTTCGGTTGTGAAAACACGTTTGACCGGCTCAAGTGACGATCGTGGTGACGAAGGCGACGACGATTTGTCTGGTGCGTCAAGTGGTCATTGACAAAAGAACAAGCTCGAGGAGGCTAATTGTTTCTAGCCAACGCGGAAGTGCATGAACGAAGATCAACATGGTCACCGCCTTCGGCATGCCGCGTGCAATAAAAAACAAAGACGGTAAGTAAAGTAAAGCACGATTAGTTTTACGATCTCAATTACATACTCAGATGACGTAAGATTCCAACAACACTTCACTATTTGTATGAGGCAATCCGACGCAGGTCAGACGATCCGGCGCAAGCTTCAACCACAGACAACATTTATGTTTCAGTGGTACGGTGGGTATTTGGTACTGGATACTCTGACACCCACAACCTTCCCTAGGCAATGGCCTCCTCACCTGCAGCCCCGCCTTAGCTTGCTCGATGCTCTGAACCCAAGCCTGGTACCAGAGGTACTCAAACGCGACCAAGGTCCGCGCCACTTTGTTGTAGATCTATTCCGCCGGGAAATCACGGCCAGAGAGCGGGGGGGAGTAGGACAGTCAGGTGAAAGGACCCTGTCCCTCAGATATTGGTGCACGCTTGAGAGGTTCAAAGACGTTTGAGTGTCGTATATACACAAACCCTGCTTCAACTTTCGGTGCCTTAAAGGAACCTGAAAGAAGGCGTGTGGCTCGAGATCACCTCGACAAGGAGCGAGTGGAAAGAGGTGGGTGTCACGAGTTGTATAAGTGCTTGAATGCCCCATGGCATTGCGCTTCGAAGACAGAGCCGAGTCACGAGAGAACGCACGTCTTCCGAGCACAATGTTGTGCAACCGAGCCCAATTCGGCAACCACCCACCTTGATGATTCGCTTGGCATCTTTTCCAGCGAGAACGTTCTGGTTGCTCTCGAATTGCTTCATAGGTTCTTCGATGCGCTTCAACAAATGCCTGCCGAGGGGTGGCAACACGTATGGACAAATATCAGGGGCCCGCAAAACATGCCAACACACAATCAAGAACTCCTTCAAGGCCGACGATATTCCGGATGTTCTCGGACGTTTGAATCAAGCCTCCTTCTTTCGATGAGGTGCGATAATGCACGTTCCGACATGAGGGTTTCAAGGCTACGAAGGCATACATAGGGGGAGTACCATGCGAAAAGGGTTGATGGCGTAAAAGCCAAAACGAGCTTTCGAAGTAGCGTGCCGCAGTCTCTTGAGCGAACATTATTCTCACACGCAGTAGCGCGCAGGAGGCAATGAAAGACACTCACATTCGAGTTTAGGTCCACAGGCCATTCAATGTCTGCACCTAGACCAACAAACACGATAGTCCGCGATGCGCATGCGCTGCGGTTATTATAGTGCTGCTGCACGTACCGCACGTGACAAATTTCCTTGCCCTAGAGCTCACACCTGGACCAGGTGATGTTCCCAGCCACAGGGGGAAGATTGCGAGATATCGGAGGGTCATGCTTCTGCTTCTCGTACAGCTGCTGCACTTGCTCAAGCTCCATCCCGTAGTTCTAAGTTGGTTTTCATCACCAAAATGAGACGCGTAGGACACGAGTTGGGGTGATACGCGATACTAATGATTCGTTGACGAGACATGTCGCTATGGAGCGGGTCATTCACGGCAAAGACCTCGCCAGTGGAGCAATTATCGTTGGACCAACATGGACGTCGAAGACGATTTGTGTCGCTTTTCAGTACCCAGACTCGGATCCGAATTTTTTTGTCACGTCTCATCGCCAGCGGACCTTGGACATGCACGTCATTTAGAAATCTATTCCACGTAGAATCGCGTTTCCAACCGAACTACTTTTGTTGCTCATGTCTGCCTCGATACAGCAGCACCCGCGTCTCTCTGGATGTATCTTCAGCCGGTCGCAACAAAATGTCAGGCCAGAGCATAACAATGAATGACGCAGGGGACTAAATGTGACGGGTACATCTGCTGATTCGGTCTTCAACTCATTCTACCTTGAATTCCTATTATGGTAAAGTATCGTTCTCCTTATCTCGACAACCCGATCTTCATCTCTTCACCTGTCTCCATCGTGTAGCACGCCACTACGCACCTGGAAAATAATGTTGAGCTTCGAGTCGAGGTCTGACTTGAGGCTCTCTCGTTGCAGGATAGATTGAAACTTGTGCAGAAGCTTCAGGGAGTGCTCGATAGAGGTGATGTTTTCGAAGCTCTGGTTGATGAATGCCTGCAAGAGGGAGGAATTGTGATGAGAAACGCCAGCTTAGATTGGCTGGGTGCAAGCACGGTAGGTCAGGCTGCTACCTGGCACACGCTAGAGAAGGCCGTTTGGTCCAGATGGCGAGTGAGGGTGAGTGGATGAACCCCTGTACAGGTCAATGACGATCATAAGTCTTGGTAAGTCTGGTGCTCGCGAGAAAGGTAGACGTCTACATGCTAGAGATATGTCTAGGTGGTGATGTTCTCAAGGGGGTTGTTCACTATCGACTCCTCGCCGGGAAGAAATAGATAAAAAAATCGCTTGGTGAGACATGCACACATTTGGTGCGTTTTTTTTGCTATGCGACAAGGTCCTGTGCTACTCTCGAGATTTTGCCTCGGTTTTGTAGACTAACAGATGTTTGACACCACCACCAATGAGGACGGCACGAACTACAAAAATCGCTACTTCAACTCGAGAGAGAATCTTGCCTGGAGACTGCATTCCAAGTCCGAGATCTTGACGTTGAACTCCACGTAGTCTCTATCGAACTTGTTGTTGTGATACGCCAGCAGGTCGTGCCGCTTTAGACGGAAGTCCTTGACGATGGAGTGGAACTGGTCGATAAGCCCTTCCATTCCTTCCAACTTCAGGCAAGGCAGCGAAAGAGATTGTTTCAACATCGGGAAACGAACGGAAAGCAAGCTAGACATCGTTCAGCCAAATGTCACCCAAAATCGGGGGAATATTACTGGTTTCGACCTTCATTTTTCCGTTAAGTAGCATTTCCCTTCGGTGAGCATGTTCTGACAGACTAACCTTGAAGAACCTTCAGCCCAAACCATTGACTGCAAATCAATAGATTTCGTTTTCGTGCCTCCTATGCTTCCGTCCGATGTGAAGGTTCGCCCCCAACACTTGCCGTACCTTGTTCTCCGAGAGCGAGTTAAACTGGTCGATGGTGCTGAACATGTCAATGAGCTTGATCACCCTTCGACAGAACAGGTCGAATTTTCCTGTGGCGGTTCATTAAACAGGATAAAATACAACAACAGAGGTTGCTGATCGTGGCAGATTCGAGCATGTTCAAACGACTCCACAAGAAAAGTTAAACAAACAAACGACAAAATTTAACGAGCCTTGCAATCATCACAACTTGCCATAGGCCAGGTCTGTCTGTGCGACCGTCGCCGAAACATGCGTCTCACTCCCCTGTGATGACGCACTTTCGCACTTTCGAACCGGTGGACAGGACCAGCATGGCGTGTGCACTCCCCACCCCTCGAATATCGTCAATATCGTACTCCACTTTTTTTATCATTGACTGTGGTATCTGCCGCAATCCCCGCCGCCCCCATACGTTTCTCACCATTCCGTCTACACCCAATTTTCTACCTTTCACTGTGAAAGATCTCAGTTGGTCTCACCAAATATTTCCGTCTCGCTGAAGTCGAACTGCTTCCCCCTTGGGGTCTGCTGCAGTTTAGTTTTGGTCAGACGGTACTGCTCCTGGTGGGCCTCGTTGAGCTTGAGGCATGATTCCAGCTGCCGGACTAGTTCTTGGGGGTCCTGCGAAAGGAGACGTGATTGCAAAATGTTGGATGGGCAGCATCCGTTGTCGCGTAAGCCGCCGTCGGATGACTGTCTTCATGTTTTGTTTGGCGTTGGTACCAAGAACTGCAGGAGGAGGTGTTCGGAGAATGTGTCTCTTTCCAAACCAAGAAGCATGAGGGGAATGGCTCCAGGTGCCGCGAACTGCCGTCTCGCACACCTTTTCCCAGAGAGCGTCCATGCTGTCCTTGCCCGTGATGCAGTCCTTGCAATTTACGATCATCTGGTCCGTAATCTTCCCGAACAGCCCGGTCATTCGTTCTGTCGTGTTGTAATACCTGGTCGGCGGAAGCATCGATGCGGCATCTTAGGCCTACTGTGGCTGTATGCTGAATCTTCCCTGCCCCCGTCATGTTTACTCCCGGAACACACCATGTGCCTCCTAGCAAATCGTGCCCTTTGCCAGGCGTGTGACCTTTCTCGAAAACTTGGACAAGACTGCTACCTGGCAATGGTGTGTATCATCTTGATGCTGTTCATGAGGGCCGGCAGAGTGTCGATGATGGTCGTGGCGGTCCCGCTGTACAAGGGTTCGATGAAGCGCTCCAGGGTATAGAGGAACTTCACGTTGTCCTTCGCCTCATTGGCGGCCTCGGTGACGTTCACGTCAATCTGTGTCGTTCCAATCAAGGAGGCCGAGCGTCGATATGGTTACATCTATCGCCAAACCGTGCATCAAACCTGCAGATTGAGGAAATGCCTCATCAACAACAGACGGAGAATGTCATCGGTGTAGGGTACTTGTGGTCGTGTTTGTATCGTTCGCGGCCTATGATCTCTGCTCAACCTCCCGTCGCCGAGGAAATGTTTTGATCGGATTGGACACTGGAATCAGGCCACGTTCGCTATACCTTAACGAATCGGTCATTTCATCCAACAGTTGAGAAAATGCAGCTACCACCGTTCGGGTGATGGATCCCTGTTCGTGACATGAGCGAGGAAACCGTAGAACCTTGAAACACGCCAACAAACTCAACAACACCCCGCGTTACTCAGAACCAATCGACCGTACTATTTAGCACGTCAATCGTTTGACTCACACCTGCTATGCGTCACATGCGCCCACCTGTTTCCATCTCCGCAATAGGTTCGCAATCTTTTGCTTGCTTGGGTCGGCCGAATTCTTGGTGAGGGTGGACAGGAGTCCGATCACATCCTTGCAGTCCTGCAAGACCGCATCATACGCCCACCCCCATAAACAATCCCATAAACGATACGCAAAAAATGTAGAAACGCGAAAATCAATATCGGATCGAAGCAATCATTTCGTGGCGAGTAGGCGTGGCAACGAAGCCAAAAGGAATGGTGAAGTGCGGAGCATTGTTGCAATTGTCAAACCTGGCCCGGTAAACGGGTTCTTCGTTTGCTCCACCGCCGCATAGTACGAAACATTTCTCCGTGTTCGGGCTCACGGGGAAAGTACAGGTTGTATGACCGCCCTAAACAGAAGAACAACGTACAGAAGCGTATGGCTGGGCCTTCATACGATCAATGGTTCTGTTCAGTAACAACAGCACAGTACCTTTCGCTTCAGCTGCTCGGTGATACTGGTGAGCCGCTGCATTCGATTCCGCCAGTACTCCAGCTCGCCCTTTGGACCTGCATCGCGCCCCCCTTCTCCGTCATCACCGACACTGCTCCAACGGACGTATGAATAATTCAAAATTGACGAGCATGGAACTTTGCGTAATCAGTATTGAGTCGAAGGGCACCATACCCAAGTCGTCCAGTGATATCGAAGAAGATAGGTGCAATCGGCAAAGTTGGAGATCTCGGACCACTTCGGCCGCACGTGCACTTTCCCTTCCAGTGGAACGTCAATCCAAAGCCATTGCAATAGTTTTTCCAGTTCTACGCCACGATGTACCACGAGCGTTTCGTCGATCCACTGCCCTTCTAGAGTCAATCTTGGCATCCATTATTTCCCCTTCTCCATCTCGTACGCACAGGTGTTTGGATGGATTGAATAGGGGAAACATAGGATAAAAAGTCATACATCACGACACCTCGGTTCTATTTTTTTTTTATTTTGAATCTCCTGGATATGATCGTCCTCGACACTTGAGGTGTTCTGTAGGACGGAGCACCACGCACAGCTGCTCAGAAATGATTACTACCATCAGAAGACTTTGACGAACACTTTCTCCCTTTGCGCTTACCACTCTCGAGGGTTGAGATATTCCTCTATTTGATTGCACCATTCCTCCAGCAGGTTCTCGAACCGCGGAATCAGCTCGGGGTTTTGGTTCACCCTCTGTGTCAGGGTGGCCGAACGGGTACGAAACCAAATTGATCAACATCTTGGTGGCATGGATGCATTTTCGATTCAACAGAACGTTGTCAACCGGGGGGCGAACTCAAACGTCGATCACTCCCTAAGATATGGATGCACCCCGCCGGATCTCTGGCTACGACTCTTTCTGCCTCCTGCACAAGACGGTGCATTGTGTATGCTCACACGGGCACTAAGATGGGGTTCGGCACAACAACAGGGTTACTGGGCGACGACCGCAAATGAGATTCCATCCGTCGTGCTCTCGCGTACCTGCGTGAAATTTCGTGTGTCGAGACATTCGGAGCTCTCCCTCGTCTCGGAGTCCATGCCCCGCAACTCCAGCCCCCCCACCAGCGACTTCAGGCCCTCCTTGAGCGCGTGGATAAAGTGGTCTGTCTCCGCCAGAAAGTCAACCTGGGTCCCGCGCAACACGGAGGTGGGAATGAGGGCGACAACATGACTTACAGATTGAGTGGGTGGTCTAAAGTTCATTGGCAAGGTTCTTTCGTCTGAGTGTAGAGGAATGGATCTACATAACCGGGAGTCAAAGAAATAATTGATAAAGTGGTTAAGGTCGGATGGTCTAGTGGTAAAAAGGGGGAAACGAAGTATATCGCTGAGAACGCTCGCATCTAGACAACCTTCGATTTCTTGAGCAGGAATGTTGTGAAACATTCTGCAATTCACCCGTTGTGCATCTGGAATCACGAGACAGAATTTTCGTCCTTGTAGTCCTTCAAGAACTCGTGCTCAAGGGTAAGGAAGACAACAAACTACGCGTTGTTCGTCTTGAAGGCGATAAAGATAAACAGTAATAAGTAACGTTGAACAAATACCACGTAAAGTTTTATGTGGATATGAGGAGGATTTGAGCACAAGCACTCGTAGAGATGTTTTTCCCAGCGACAATCACTGCAGTTCCCCTCTATGATTTTATTTTTGCCTGTTTTGTTTGTGGGACTTGTGAACAACGTCGAGAAAACCCGTTGACAAACAAACGAAATTGGGCGAACGAGATACCGACCAACTTTGAGCTTGTGCAGGCAATGACTGCGGCCACGTTCTTGCCGGAGCTGAGTGTGTTGGATCAAGTTGGCCCTAATACCGAAAGATGATCTATCGAAGTATAAGACACGAGAACGAAACGAAGGAATCAAAGAGCACTCAGATTACCTTTTGTTCGGTGTCTGCCTTCCCCCAGCCGTCGCTCTCGCTAAGGAGGGGTTTAAGGAACCTGCTGAGAGCGGCCTCGATACCGGCGAGGGCGCTACCGCTGATTTCTCCAAACAACAACGACTGGTCTCCTCCGCTGTTCCCAGAGGTCGAGTAGGTACGACAATGAGAGTGTTGAGAGACGACGCACAAGGGAGTTGTCATGAAAAGGGGACGGAGATCGAGGTTGTTCATGCCCTAACGTGACGCACGGCAATATCTTACAATTCGCCGCCAAGACAAGGATTCTGACCATCTCTCCAAACAATGAAGAAGGGTCTCTGTGGCTGAAGTAGCCACATCAGAGCTTGTGAGAGAAGCAATGAGAGAACATTCGGGAAAAATACTTGTTTTCATGAAGGATGAAGAAGTTGACGAATTTATGACGTGAAAAGGGGTACGGAGTTGCAGATTAGCTCAATAGAGGGCGGTGTGTGCAACGTATGAAAGACGTGCATAATAAATTACGGCGAATTGAGTTTTATGTGTCGAAAGTACTCCGCAACACGCATAGTTCCACTGGATGATCATCGAACGCTATGAAAATATGGACGTCGTCAGCTTTGTACTTGGGTTTTGCACCCATGTCTCTTCTGGTCAAAACACAAGGACACCCTCCATGTTTTCCCTTCGGCTTTCCAACTCCCCCCCGCCCCTCCCCTTCGCATTCCGGAGCACGATCGAACAGTTTCTAATTACATGGTGATATTGTTTAAGTAGAGTTCCATCTTGCATTTGAGTCAATGGTGTCGCCGTTGGTTGAATGTGCTTATTTTGTGAAATCCCAGAAGCAGGTTTTTCTCTCCCGCTCACAGAGTATGGGTATATCTGTTTGGGTGCCTGTTCCACCGTACTGTATCAATCGACGCTCAATTCCTCGGTGTTCCCGGAGCAACATCAGCAGTAGCTGGGCAACTCGATTCTTCATAACATACCACAGCAGTAGGTCAGACGTATTTCGGAGCTCATCAAAAAAGAATACCATCCAGTGCGACACGACAGCCGAAAATAGACCCTTGAAACTCCTGAACGCCCTAAAGCGTTTGCACTCCCAAGCGTAGATTTCTTGCCAGTACTGGTGTACCTGGCCGTATCCAAAGATGCACCCTCCTTGGCGTTCCGCAGGAAAAAACAGCACTTGTTGGACAGCAGCTCGCTAGCCCCGTCGGTCACAAACATTTCCGTCCCACCTGCTTCATCCTTTTTTTGTCGTATTGGCCCGATCGCAGGATAGAGTTACGGGTGGATGCATGCACGGGTTTGTACGCGCACGTTGATATGGGTACATCGAAGCGCCGGGAATACACGTGCTTGATACTTCTACGTGCGCCTGGATGCTGCGAACACGCGATTCAACGGCTTGTCCCGGTGTGCTCTTCTCTCAGCAGTGGTACAATCAAAAATGTCACGGAAAGCGCAGCATACCGTGGTATATCACTTGTGCCGCCATGCGGACGAAACACCAACATCAACAACATGTTACGCCCTCGACACATCACCTCGTCTGCTCGGTCCGCGGCCTGGAAGTACACAAAGAGTCTGTTGGGGCCATCACCAGCGAAGAGGCTGTTGAAACGGGTCAGGTTCTCGTCCATCCGCATAAACGCCTGCGTTCATTCCGACAGACATTGAGAAGACGACCAAGATGACGCAGAAACTCTCAATGCGCCGAGACTTGAACACAGCCGGCAGGTTATCAAGCCGGTCGGGCGGCGTTGCTGTTCCATTCAGTCGGGGTGTACTTGTGTTGTCGCCTCACGTATTATCGTCGTTATACCGTTCGGGGTATGTGGACGTACCAGCCGGGGACACAAAGGAGGAAGGCAACGTCGTGAGGTTGTTGATGGTCTCTTTTTCCTCCCCGTTGCCTCCCTGCTGGGGTACTTACCCTGCTGGATTGGCTTGAGGATTCAGCGTGTAATGCTTGGCCGACGGTGAAATGACTTAGAAACCAGGTGCAAGATATGATGGTAGAGAAAAGGCAAACTATCGCTCCGTGCGAGACCAGGACGTTTGTTTGTCATTCACTTTTTGTTGCTCGATTCTCTTTCAGTCGTTTGCAAATTCAGTGAAAAAACAGATCGGTGGTCATTTCTCTAGGACTATAGTTGGTGCAAGCGTTTCTAACCCGTTCTGTCACCGTAAAAATGTGTATGCACTACTATACCAAGGATATCAATGCACGTTCTCTCTGCATGGATGAATGGATAGGAGGACCAGTCGTGATTCCTCCGACGGTCGCTTGCTGCTTCTTGCACCATGTGAACCCAGGGTTTATCATCGCACAGCCGTACATAGTCTGTTAAGATGTACAGCATATCCACTATGCTACAAGTCAGCAAGTCATAGTGGATATGCTGTACATCTTAACAAAGTCTAAATGCGCCGTAGAATTGTCTACATGTAGACTACAGCTACCCTACAGTACATTGTCGATTGTAGTCCACAGGTCTACAGCAAACTATGTAGCTAAAAACGACCTAAACAACACATGCATCTTCGGAAAGTTACGCCGCGTTTCCTCGTCAATACATGTAGCAGCAGATAGACGCAAGAAAACCACAGAGGCAACAGGATTCACCTCACACGGGTAAGCTCATAGGCAATGGTTTTTGTCAGTAAGTTATGATGTACCCTCCTCTCCGCTTTCTCATCTACCACACATACATGCACAGAGAGCCTGTAGTAGTGCCGTACGCTGCACCTACCTGTGATTTGCTTGCGTCGACGTCCGGGCCGAAGGCTTCGACAAGCTTGGACATACACCATCGATGTCTAGCCGTCAGGGCCATGACGACCAAGCCTCGCCCGTCAGTACCGTGTAATGCTGCTGGACCTCAGATATACCCAGCCACTCCTGCGCTTTGTTTCTCTCGTCCAACAGAGTCACTTCGACGATGGTCGTGGAGTCCACAACGCCGACGGATCCAAAAGCTGGTCGGTGAGGCGATGCTTCGAACACACACACTCTCACAGACCCGTGAGGGCCCACAATGCGCGGTCAAGCACAGCACTGGTGTCAATACTCTCTTGCCCCCAGTCCTGTACAATCCGGAAGATGCATGTATTGCGAAGTACGACGTTGCGCGGAACCGCCATAACGCGACGAACCAAACTCTCAGCCGAGAAGTAATTCTACAGTTTCGGTAATCGCCTCCGAATAATCGTTGACACCTTTTTCTGGTACCCTCAGAGGCGGTCTGCGCGCGTTCGAAAAGCAAATGCGGTACTTGGCGGCACTCTCTAGGCCAATCCCCTCTATCTAAACGACACATATATACTCTAGTACAGCCACACGCGTGGTACATACCCGCATACGCCCATCTTTAGAAGGTCGGGCAAGGGTCGGACTTCAATGCGGTGAAACCATATTGTTTGTCCGACTTTGGGCGAGATTGAAGCCATCACTGCTGCTGTAGTCCGACTACAGCGACTGCTGTTCGCAGGGGCCTTGGCCAGATAACAGGACGGACGAACCCAGAAAGATCTTTGGGAATCTCGCAGGCGGGGAGGATCCAGACAAGGTCTGCACGGGGCAGCTCTGGCTGAATTACCTGCGGGGCGATTCGCCGACGAATCTACGAAGAACATCGATCGGCGAATTTCGGAGATCGGACTGGCTCTCTTCGCAAAGATCGTCAGCAAAAGTGAACGGTAGTCAAGATAATGTGTGACATTGTTCAGTCCGAAGACAACATACTCGGCACGGAGCGGCTGCCCATTATGTCATTTGGGCTGAACAACGCATCGATCGCGGGATGTTCAGCGAAAGAATCGGCGACGAACTTCGAGAATTCATTCATCGTCGAAGACAAAGAATATTCTCAGGTTGACTAGCAACCGCAGATAGATGTCCCATCGATTCCCTACTGCTGTGCAAAATCTGCTGGTGGGTCTACGTTGTTTTTGCTCTGTTACGTCTACAGTAGTAGAATATCGATAATTTTTTTCCTCGGCCTCGACTGTCCGCAGTCAACGCGGAGAGCCGTCCCAACAGGAGACATACCCACAAAAAATAATGGCGGCGTACATGATTTTTGTACTCCTCCTGTTGTTCCAAGTGCAAGTAAAAGGACATATCGGAGGTTCCGCCTCACGGGCGCAAGCTGTCTGTCCCTTTCTAACGCGAATGTGGGGGGGAAGTTCCTACACCGGGAAAGAGTATTTGAGGTTTCAGATATCCCGACGAACAACGGAAGAGGACTAACATTGCGGACGCGCATGTGAATCGCTGTTTATTTCGCCATCATCTCATTAAAGCTCGCCGTTGCCACATACCGCAAGGTCTTGTCTCTCCATCTCAAGAACTCCGACCTATCTACGCAAAAAACTCTGCGTAGTTGAGACAACATTAAATACCGCAATGGTAAGATGGCGATTTTTTTCTGCGCAAGCAGACCTTGGGCGAAGAGTCCGTGGAGCGGGAAATGTCAGAAGCATGCCACCACCCAACAACCTGCAACCAGAGGGTTCCCTCACTTAAAACTGAAGGAACATAACTTGGCCGCCGTATGCATAGAAAGCCCTCAGACGGAGGCTTTCCGATCGCTGTCCTTCGCCGTCCGGAGGAAGAAAGAATAGGAGGCTCACTCAAGACAAGCGTCTTGCCGATTTCCTCCCGACGTATTCGCTCCAACAGGCGGACAGCATACCAGACGCCACTCTTCCGTCCAGCGAGAAACACCATATTTGCTATTTCGTCTCTTGCGGCAATTCGGATGGAGGATGGTATGAACTCCTCATTGGCTCGCTTTCTGCATCTCTTCGTCCTCTCCTGCCACTGTCGGACTTCGTCGCCCCTGGCCAGGTTTGGACGTCGACGAAGATGGGTGGCTCTCCGAGGCAAGCTTGATCAAGCCACGGAGTCTGTTTTGATGCGATGCGGTTGGGATCACGAGACAGGAAGTGCTCAAGGGATGGACGACCAAGGGTGTCTCCAGAGGCCTTTCGCGGATCAAGCCCTTGCAAACGGACGCTAGATGGCAGTGTGACAATGCAAACGACACCGGCGTCTTACATGGGTGCAACGCAGCGTTCCCCACTTTGTGGCTTCGGGTGAACCGGTATCGCCAGAGTTGCGCGCTACTTCACCTCCAAGTCGTAAAACCTCACAAATGACGCTCTTCTCGGGAAGCTGGCCCCAAACAAACCCATTTCTCATGAAATTTGCGTCTTGCCCCCGATTTGCTGCGCAGATTTGTAACGAGGAGCCGCCGCGCCGAAGAGGCACCCGCAACACAACGCACGCAATTCCACTTCATGCTACATGTCTAACGTCCGCCGAACTTGTCTGTCACCAACCTGCAGAGGCTGCTCTCTCACCTGTCCACCTCCATGACCCTGACGCCCACAGTGTCCCCGACTTTGACGATATCTCTCGCTGGCGGGGCAGGCAGCTTGTCGGTCATGTTGGACACATGCAGCAGGCCCTGCTGGTTGCGAAGCAGCTCCACCAAGCAACCGTATTCGTGCACTGTCGTCACTGTCCCCTCGTAGAAGTCCCCCTGGAATGTGTTGTGGTTGCATTTCAATTGGAGGCAACAGACGGGTCGTGTTCTGGTGAAAGGAAATAAAGAGCAGTGCGTTGGAGAACTAGAGGTGCCTAAACATGCAAAGGGTGATTTCAAGAGTAATGTGAAAGTACGGCACCATTGAGTTCGGTACAGGTTTGGAACAGGGAATCGAAAAAAAAGTGATATATAGGGCACGGGGTAGCTCCAACAGGAAGCTGGGCCATCTAACACATCGCCCCAAATGCTGTAATAATACAAATTCGAGGTCGATACCTTACCCTTGTAATCCGAATACAGTCTACAACGAGAGTTCGAAGGCACGTTGAAAAGGAGTTCGCCAGAAAACAGTTGAAATTTCGACAAGCCTAAACCTCCTCGATTTAATCAAAAGCCAACCCACCAACAAAACAACGATCAACACTCTCGTGCAAGTGTGCGTCAGGCAGGCATCACATGACGCAGAACTGACACACCCTTGCCTGAAAATAAATTTCAACCGGGAAACGTGGAAAAGCTGCAGGCAAAGAAAATCGGATGGCATTCGCCACGCGCAGTCATCTGGGCCTTGCGTAGAAAATCCACGGAGCAATTCGGAGCATTCACCCTACCGCCCACGCCGTTTGTTGTATTGCTGAGAGCGACGTCTTCTCAGCCGGTTTCGCCCCGTCGATGCGGTAGTGAAAACACACACACAATAAGGCGCACACCTCTTCGATTTCGTGCACCAGCTCTCGCACGAGCCTCACTGCCCCAGCTACGCTTTGGGCGTTGTCGGAGAACACCACCGCTCTTCCCTCGGTGGAAAGGTCCAGTGCCACGCCGAAGTTTTCTTCGATGCCCTTCATGGTCTGCGGTTATACCAGTCGAGTTTGAAGCAGGTCGGGCCAGGCAGTTGAGGGACAAAGGTTCTTGCTTTCGACGGCAATAAAACCAACGTCAGCAGTTCGATCTCGATTAACAGTCTCTGGATTGATCCACTGCTGGTGGGTATTGATTGACACATGATGACCCATACGGCCGTAACATTGAGTGAGCAATACTACATGCGTTACCAACAAGGTCACAGGGAGATCGCTAGATCCCCATCATGCGGGGATTTGGAACCCTTGCGAGGTAAAGTATGTACGAGGGGATTCGGCGAAATCCGACGGAACGTAACACGACACACAGGCTGCCGGTCTCGTTTGACACCGCGGGCCACGACGATCTTTCTCCACGTCGGCCTCGATATCTTTTGAAGACAGCTTCAACGGATGCCAACAAATCGCGGGATCGATTGAACAGACGGTTTCACAAACCGAAGCCGGCATGGCCGTTACCATACCTGCCCCTGGAAGCCGACCAGGTCCTTCTTCCGGTCGGCCTCGAAGTGGACGATCTCGCACCGGGGGGCTCTGTCCTTTAGAGTACCGTTGGGCGACCCGATCGCTTTCTTCATCGCCTTCAGGACCTTGAAAACCAAAGCGAATAGGAAACAGTTGATTTGACCTACTCAACAAAAGGCTTGTGTGGTGTGCTCGATTGCTCTGTAGTGGTTCGGTTAGATCACGCGTGTATGTGTAGTTCACAAGAAGACAAAAGCGACAGACAACGCTAGGGCCGCGCCGATGCAGCTTATCCTCTCGCCAGTCGGCCCTTGGGATTAAACCAAACTCAATACGTTATGTGCTACTAGCCCGTCCGTCCCTCCGCCATTATTCCTATCTACGCACCTGTGCACGGCCTGCCTTGGCAACCCTGAGCGCTTCGCTTAGAACTGGTAGAGGAACACCCCCCCTGAGTTTCACGTCAAGCTGATGGAAGGCAGGAACGACGCGGGAGAAGACGAAAATCGATCCAAATGAAACAACAACCGAAGGAAAATAGCAGGAGAAACCAAGAAGACGACGAAGTAAAACGGAGACGAAAAACTATGTGAAACGAAACTGTCGCGGATTTTGACACGTCAAACCCACGCTAAAACTATCCACGTAATTTGCAATGCGCCGAACCCCAGATTTCCTCTCGGCACCATGGCCTTCATGCAACACGAACGCCGTATAGGTCAAACCAGATTGACGGCAACAACGAGAGACAGTCCACAACGGCCCTCTGTCACAGGCAAGGGCATATAAATCGGATGGGTATAAATCAATAAATACCTGAATCGCTGTGATGCCCGTCGCCGTCCCCGCCACCTTGAAGTCCATATCCCCGTAATGGTCCTCTGTCCCCTGGATGTCCATCAGGATCGAGTGCGGCCCGATGTCCTCTCCGTCCGCAGGTGCGTCCGTCGTCATCAATCCCACTACAACCGTGGATAGAGGCAACAGGCGGTGGCCGCGGCGGCGGGTGTCCCGTTGTCAAGACGGAGTCAGGCGTGGCTACCGTACACTAGACTCGGTTCGTCAAACGTCGGGACAAATAGCACACCAGACAGAAGACACAGCCAATCAAATCACACAGACGTAGTGCACCAACGCTGGAAACAGGCATGAAATGCTGGCGCGGGGGCGGGGTGGGACGGAATGCATGACTTATTCTCGGTCGCGGCGTTTATCGTTTCATAGTCCACCGTAAATACGAGGGGAGGGCGTTTGCGGGACACACGGACGCACAAACGCAGGTTTGCGCCCCCAAGAAACATTAGGCCACCATTCTGCTCAGCATTTCGGGATAAGTATTGCCAGCTCCCGCCACTCCTCCTTGATTTTCGGGATTTTCGGGCAAACAGGTGTGCTCTTATCACAGCCGCCGTGTCGACGGCCGCCGAAGGTGCTATCGTCGTTGATCCAGGCACACCCCATCTATGTGCGCTCCCATCCACCACCGGAATTCTGAAGACCGTCAGGCCGCAGCAGCAGCAGCAACAACAACAACAACAGCAGCAGCAACAGCAACAGCAGCAACAGCAACAGCAGCAACAGCAACAGCAGCAGCAGAGGCAGCAGCCAGCGGCGTTTTTCTCACTCTCACCCTTACTCTCATCCTCGAACCCTTCCCTACTCTCACCGGCACCGCCATTTCACTCACCGGAAATGCCTCCCACCGGTGAAGAAACCGGCACTCCGGCATCCATGAGGGCCAGAGACGTGGCACACGCTGTCGCCATCGAAGACGATCCATTGCTCATCGTCACCTTTATCAGGCAAAAATGGTGAAAAAAAAAAAAAAAGCAACGCAGACATGATTTGGTCGAGCCATAAACCGTCAGGGGCATACGTACGTCGAAACTATTCCGGGGGCAAACAACACTCGATATGGAGCGAGTGACGCGTCCGTTGCGAATTGTAAATTTTGGCACTATTTATTCAGATCTCCAATAGGTGAGATCTTCTACCCTGTTAGTTGCAACAGGCAGCAACGAGATGTTTCGCCAGAAAAATAGAAAGCTCATACTCGCCTCGGCAGACACGCGCGTGGTGTACGGGAAGGTCTCTGTCTCGGGCATTACGGACAGCACCGCGCGTTCGGCGAGGTTGCCGTGTCCAACCATTCGCCGGTTCACAAGTCCCACCTGAAAAAAAAACGGGGGTGGAACACCAAAAACGCAGACAAGCTTTCGCGATTTGTGTGCTTGAACGATGCTTTGCCACCGACTGAAAGAGGAGAACGCCAAAACCCCCAGTGCCCTAGCCAGGAAGTCATTAATTCACAGTATCTATGTCAACAACAACAGCAGCAGTAGCACAATAACAACGTCAACAACAATATCAAACACAGTACCAATATCAACATCAACAGCAGCAAAATAACAACAATAGCAACACAATACCAATATCAACAACATCATCAGCAGCAGCACAATAACAACGACAACAACAATAGGAACACAATACCAACATCAACAGCAGCAATAACAACAATAGCAACACAATACCAATATCAACAACAGCAGCAGCACAATAACAACGACAATATCAACCACAAGCGCACCCTGCCCGTCTCGTTGACGCAGTAGGGGGGGAACTCGTAATGCAGGTAAAGCCTGGCGTCGAGCGTGTCTGAGGCCTCTTGTGCTTTGCCGAGGAACCTGCAAAAAAACATGAAGCGCAATCGCGATGAGCGGCAGCAAGTGAACTCGGGCGTGTACAGCCGCAACCCACATCCACAACAAAACAAGACGTTTTACGGAAGCCTTTGAGAACGTGGAGCGTACGCGGGGACGAGGGCAGGACGGCCGCAACAACGCACGACGACGGCGGTTCGCCGTAGTCTGCTTGGGAACTTCAGATGAGGATGGGCGGGGATAGTTCATGACTGCTTCAGTGTGTGTCAATTCCCGTAGAGAAGTGCACGTTCTGGGTCACCGCAACAAAAGTATTGCAGCTCGAGGATTGGCACATCCACACAAAGAATAATGACATACTTGGGCGCGGTCCTGCTAGGTGGATGGGAATAAGTCTTGACCGCATTACAGGTAAATTCCTCCCTCAACAATGCGAGTTTTTGGGTGACAACGGCAATTAAGCTAGGGAATCGCACGGAAGACAAGGGTGGGTCCTTTTTACCCACGTATCCAAGTGTTACGTACGCCAGCCTATAGCCTCTAGTGCTCATTCAGCCATCCTGGAAGCCTGGGTCACACAGAAGCCTCCCCCAACTTGAGACCCCCCCACTCTTTCTGCGGTGCATCTATCCACGTGTGCTCCACGACCGGTCAACAAGGAGCGAGGCTATCGGTCTCTCTAGGGAGCAGAAGAGCAGACTGCCGTGGACACAGACACCTTACCGCTGCGGAGCGGACTCCAGGGCGGGGCCGAGGGTGACGATAGCCAGGGTCTGCGTCTGACCGCGTGTGAACATGCCCGACCCGTGCACCGTCGGGAGAACGTCCACCTGCGGACAGACGACCGGCCCAACAGCCAGCACAATGTTGAGGGGGAGGGGGGGGGGAGGGAGGCTAGGTTGCTTCCGCCTCCGGAAAAAGTCAAGAAACAGCCCAACAGATGTTGAGGGAGGGTCGAATTTCAAGGGATAGGGTTGAGACCACGGCTGGAGTAGAGATGAGGCCTTAACGTGGCTGGAGGAAAGAAACAACAACCTGTGTTGTTATACTTTGAAGGGGGTGCAGCATCCAAGGGACGGGGGTAGGACCACTGCGGGGGCACAGATGTGACCTGAACGTGGCGGGCAGGATGTCCACCGTCGGGTAGGAGAAGAAAAGACCCAAGGAATCGAACGGGGGGTAGTGGATGTGGATGTGGATGTGGCTGCGGGCGCAATCACCGCTCCGGGGACAATCACCGCACAGCGCCAACAATCGGGCGTGTGTGAGATGGACGGGCCGTGGTGCCGGATGCCGCCTAGATTGGCAACCAAAATAAACAGACAAACTTTGTTTCCCTTCCTCCCCGTGGGACCCGGGCTGTTAGACCAAGCATACTACAAATAGGCGTAAACTGGTACCCAGAAAATATGAGGCGAAACACACATCCGTTGTTCCACTTCCGGCTGGTAAACTTCCGCTGATGTCATCGCACGAGCACGAAACTTTACAACGCAACACACCTCTCCGGTGAGGTCGCGCGCCTCGTCTTTCCCTCGACCGTCCGGACGACGGCCCTCTTCCACGATCGCCGCCCGCATGGCCCGCTTCAGCACCGCCTCCGCAGCCGCAACCCTTGCCGCCGGAGGAGCGTCGGGAAAGCTAACGGGGGGAGTTTGGTTACAAGGCGGAGCGAGAGGGTGAGGTCGCAAGAGCGGGTCAGGCGGTGTGTGTGAGGTTTCCCGTCGTAAGGGCTCACGAAAACGTGGGCGGGTAGGGGCGTGCGTTTTCGCAGTGCAGTGTGCAAGGGGGTGTCGAGCACCCCAGCAAAAACAGTCGTCGTATTGTATTCTTGCATGTTGGAGAAAGACGTCAAGCGACCATACTAATACAGGGTACCCTCCACAAAGTCAGCGCTGTTGTGCCCCGTCCCGTGATGCCGTTCCGTGTGCAAGGAACACTCTTCCCCTCTGTTTCGAGTTCCTGAGGCGAGATGGCTTTTCGGACTGGACAACCATACCCCCAACACAACAAAATATCAAGAGACAAAACCGCCGCCTCTCACCTCGTCGCCAGCGCTTTGCGGACCCTCCCCAGGAGCGCCCCTTCCGCCCTCCCCCGATCCGCCTTCGAGGGATTTCCACTCTCTCCGGCAGTGGCGTCATCGCCGCCCTTTGGTGGTGCCGCGAAAAGAGCCTTCGCGTCCGGCAGCCCAACACGCATGGCCTCTGTGAGCATACCCTGTGGTGTGTGCGTGTCGGCGTGGGGTGTGGTAAAACTCGCTTTGAGACACGTAAGCACACTACAACTACAACGCAGGAAAAAAAAAAAACTTGTTTCAGGTAATCGGTTCAACCGCGCTAGATACGTACAGACCCCCAAAGCCATCGTTTCGGCAATAAACAACAACGCATGCAACCGAAAAATGGCCGTGCACACTCTGCTGTACACTAGCATGCCGATGCCGACACTTCTGACCGGAACAAACTGCTGCCTGGAAGTCATTCGCTCGAGTCCTCGGTACCGCAAACAAAACACTACGCTGCCACGAAAGGGCCGGGTGAGCATAGTCTAGAGGTCCAGGCGATACAAAATCGCGACAACTCACCGGTGACGGGGCCGCGTCGGAGCGCGGAAGGACCTTCTCCTTGCCCGCGTCCCGCTGCAGAGCGCGCTGGGCCTCGATCAGCGGCGCCACCTGTTTGTTTCGGCAGTTTTCCGCGGGTACCGGAACGGCTGCTCGGCATGGTCTTGGCACAGCAGTCACACCACATCGGTTGAGCAGCACAATGGCAACCCAACTGGAGGTTAATAGCCCCACCTGCATGGCGGTTGAGCGTTCTCTACTTACAGTTGAGCGTTCTCTACTTACTGTTTTCTAATGCTTTTCATTCATACGGTGGTGGTCCGCGTGTAAGGCCAGTCGCCCTGTTGAAGGCCGGCGAAATCACGTGATACAGGCGGTCACGAACGACGTGAGCGAGCGCGCGTCTCCTTGCTCACATGTTTGTGGGCGAGCTTGAGGGCCGAGTCCATCAACCGTTCGCCCGTGGGCCCGCCCCCCATTTCGATCATCAGCACCCGGTGCTCGTTTGCCGCGTAGAGCAGGTCGAACCCCCCGCCGTCGTTCCAAGCGGTGGGCGAAAATGTATCCGGGGAAGGGTTCACCACGAGCTTGCCGTCCACGCGGCCTAATGTTCGTTCGCGTGCGTGTCGGGACGAAAAGTTTGTTTGTAGTATAGCATCGATCGCGCTAGCCGGTTGGTTGTGGGAAATACATGAGGCGGTTGTGTTCATTCATGTTGCTTGATTCTCCCAAATCACCCTGTCGGCAGCAGTTCTGCTCTCACACATTGATCGGATGGATTGGTTGGCTAGACTCCCCTCACCTTCCGAATTCAGTTGAATAAAATGCTTTCCACAGTGAGGGGTGAAAGTCAAAACAAGACGCGGCCCTCTAAAACCGGTCTCCTGTTTCTGCCGTTTAGAAAAAGAAGGGGAGGCGGCTACAACACTGCTTCCCCTCACAAACGAACAACACCTAAGTACTACACTTTGTTCCGTTTTTATTCAACGCAACTTCAGACGGGCCCATTGAAGGCTCACACGCCGCACCTATTCGCACGCAGCCCGCCGGCCCATCCCAAGGGATGTTGGACACGCAGAGCGCGGCTGAGGCGGCGTTGATGGCAACCACGACCGGGTCGCCACCCGCCTCCAAAGCTTGCACAGTGGCGACAACCTGCTCCACGACACAACAGGGGGCCACGCAGATGGGTAGTGGGAGGGAGAGAGAGAGAGAAAGACACAAGGGAAGGGGGAGGAGGGAGTAAAAAAAGGTGAAATGGCTGCAAATCGTGACGAGATCAGATCATACAGCACCAACAGCAACAAGAACCAACGGCGATGACAGCACAACCAACAAACAGGGACCTCAGAGCTGCAAAAAGGGGGACACGTCCGCCGGTACATACCATGGGACATGCGGTGGCGACAGACGTGGCTTCAAGTACTGAAGCATGAACGAAAAATATATGAACAAACGTCGGCACGCATGCAACGTGCACGTCGGCATAACTGGCCGATCAATGAGGCCAATCGTGTCGGAAGGAATGCACGACACGCAAATAACACTCAGTCAAGCAGCGGCGGCGCCAAGAAACCGCACGAGCGCAGCCAAAACAAAAATACAGCACAACGGAACGGAACACGGCGTGAGTGCGCGCATGTGTGTGCATTCGTAATCGTGAGTCGCTGGAACAAAGTGCTGCTTGTCGCATCCCTATTCACGGCGGGCGAACCATGCGTTACGTTTTCATGCCCGACAACGGCAGGCAATTACACCAAGACAACACTCGCCGAAAGGTGCTAGCCCCCCCCCCCAGTGATGGAGTGTGAGCCGCGTCCCGACGGCGGGGACCCAGGCGACCGGAACTCACCTGCGTGTCGAAGCAGTACCCCGGGGGGAAGAGCGGCCTGAGTACCCTGTCCACCGCCCTCGCCACCAGCACCTCTTCGTCCGTCTCTCTCCCGTCCCGCCGGTTAGGCGTCCTAGGAATCTTTCCCAGGGCGTGTGCCTGTGCGTGTTGGCGTTCACCGGTGCACGGCACACGAGCACCGATGCCACAAAACACACCAAGAGGCGAGGGTATCGAGCAGGTATCAGACACGGTTGTGCGGGCGAGAGGAACACGGCGTGGATCACACAACGACGACGACAACAACAGCAGCAGCAGCAACAACAACAACAACAACAAGGTCACGACACGCGAATCAGAGCCTGCTCTTTTTCGTCTCCATTCTGACCTTTTCGCGGTAGTCGACCGAGAGGGGAAGGAAGCCAGAGTCGTCCATCTCCGCCCTGTTGCTGACGGCCGAAACCATCACCACCGTACCCCCCTGCCTCGCCGTCACGAATCCGTCCGCCAGCTGGGCGATCTGTCCCACGTCATATGCAAAAATAGAAAGAGCAGGCAGCGCCGGGGAGAGTGAACGTAAAACATTTTCGTACGTACATGGGTGCGCTGCGCTTTCTTGGCGGACGCGCTCGGTGCATGTTTAAGGACGATGCGTTGGGAAAATCGTGGAATCTGGGTGCCTTCCGTAAACGTTTTGGAGATACTTTTGTCAAAAGCCGAGTGCACGATGTGACGGCATTATCTGGCTATCCATCAGCTCCTTGGACAAACCGGACACCTGCGTGTTCGTACCCGTAGAGCCCCTGAAGCGATGTCGTCTCGAGCTAACGCTCGCACAAACGGACGTAGATCGGTCGCGTCGTCAAGGCCGCTGATTTGTCCCGCCAATGGAGACCAAGTGTAGATACAGACCCATACCCATACCCCGGAACCAGCGCCACAATGGACAGCAAACTAGCAAGTGAAGTGAAGGCGGCAGCACATGGCAATTCGTGTAGCTTCGAGGGGGTACTGCATTGACCAATACCGGTACATCTGAAGCAGCAGGTCTTGCGCGTACCTATAATAGACGTCAGGTGTCAGGTGCATCTGAAGGTTGACTCTTCCGTGTGTAAGGCTCGGGGCGTTTTGTGCTGTGTGCACATCAGCTCACCTTTCCGGTCTCGAACGTGATGCCATTTGCCGTCGCGCTGCCCACGTTAGAGGATGCCTCCGCCAGTGTCGACATCTTCCGCGGCGATGCTGCCGACCGCAGGCATTCCGCCGTATCCCGTTCAATATGCCGTGCATCTCCATCGGCCCTAGACAACAACGGATAGCAGCACGAACTGTGGAACCGATGTTCCACTGGCAAAGTCAATGCACCCAACCCAACGCCATTGGCACGATTGCTGGTAGGGGGAAGCGTGTAGATCATGCCAGCAGCACTGCAGCGATGCCTCGCCAACCCCAGCCGCTGTTGCGTAGTTAGACCCGAGCCATTCGCTGGTGTGAGATGGTCAGTCGCCATTGGCCGCGCCGTTTTCGAGCGGACCCCATCCCTGGCTATTCTGCGTAGCGGAGTGACCGCCCTCGTTCGCATCATCCTCCTCGTGCTCTTGGTCTAGCCTCTGTCGCCTCGCCCGGCTGCTGCAACCGCCGCGTGCTCACCAGAGATCAGCGCAGAGAGCATGCGGCATGCGGTATAACCAAAAGCTGGTTCTGGACGGGGACTGGGCATTCTGTCCCCGGATTTCCACATCGAACAATTTGGTTCTCTTGGACCCCCCCCCCCCCCCTTGTTTTTTTATTTTTTTTGCGTTTTCTCCTCACCACACAGCGGGCCAGCGGGCAGCAGCTCACAGCTCTCACGCGCCGTCGACGTCTCAACCTCATCTCTTTGCCATCCCTCACGGGACGATCCATCCTCTATAAACAATGGGCCCCCCTCCGCCGACTGGTGAGTGAGAGAAACGAGTCGGTCGGGCTGTGTGTAAGTTTGTGAAAGCAAGGTGGAGAACGGCGAGCAACCATGCGTTGCTGTTGTGTGGGGTAGGAGAGACGGAGAGGCAGGGAACACGCTTCACGAGAGTAACCTTGTGACGGGCTGGAGGTTGCAAGCTCACGGGAACGCGTTTGTGCGTGGTCTTGCACCTCTGCCCCTACCCCTCTTGCTATCCCATCACTGTTTCTTGTTGACAACACCGCACCCAATGATTACCTCATGCTGTGGGGGGTGGAGCTGGTGTGCCTCATCATGGTTTTTTTGCCAACACACACCCTTGGCGCGGCCACGACCGGCCGGTCCGATTTTGCGGGTGCACCTTTGCCTTTCCTGTTGTGGTTTGTTCTCGGAGCTCGATTTTGGACGTCGAATTGCTTGGAATGATGCTCCCCCACACAGATATCAACATGCTCCCTAGGTATATCAAAATCAGCATGATAGCAGGGTTCCCAAGGTCCACAAAGAACAAATACACCGCAAGTAGCCCATTGCAAGGGGATGCCCATACGCTCGCACCACTTGGCTCGGGAAGACTTATTTGGCGGTATCTTATGTATTTGCAGCTGAGGTGCTGCTGTGAAATCTGCTGAGCACGCCTCTCTTTTTTGTGCTGTTTCTCCCTGGGCTGGAAAGTCCACGTTAGTGCCATTCCGCAAACCATTGCTCAACTGAAGCAGAGATCGGGGCTTCAGACCCCCGAAACGTCGCTGAGCCATCTATGGCAGGGTCGTGAAGTACTTCTGAATACGGTGTAGGATTTGAATGATTCCATTGAGCATGAGCAACACAACTCATGTAAATAACGAGGGGTTTAAATGATACCATCAAGCTGTGCACAAGAAAACACGGTACCTCAAGAGTGCAGAGTAAAGCAGTCAAGTGACAGAAGCCAGGAGTGCAGGCGAGCTTGATCCAACCATCAGCCTGTTTGTTGAACCAAGCATGACGCTTCCACAATATATGATTCCTGTTAATACCAATGTTTCTTTCCGTCCGTTCTTTGTCTTTTGTTAAGGTGAGGCACAGTATGTGATCCTTAGGGCGATCGGGGGTGAGGTAGGAAACACGGCCGCCCTGGCCCCCAAGCTGGGTCCTCTGGGTCTCTCGCCCAAGAAGATCGGCGAGGACATCCAGAAGAACACCCAGGAGTGGAAGGGGCTCCCGATCACGGTCAAGCTCACCATCATCAACCGTCAGGTCGGTGTCCGCTGCTGCTTGTGTATTGCTTGTTGTCTTCGTTGTCTGGTGCTGCGATAGGTTTCGTGTTGTTTGCCGCTTGACCTTCTGTTCTTGGTGGCGGTCATGGTTGCTGTCCGTATTCACTTCCTATGGTTGTTTCTAGCTTCGAACCGAGAGCATACCAAACATGCAAAGCAACCAGCAATCCGCTTGGTGTTGAGAGTACAAAAAGTAGCCGCGTTGCTACGGTTGGACGGAACCAGATTTTTCGAATAGCCCGCAAGCGACGCCCGCTGCGCCTTGATTTCTCTCGCGCGTGTGGGGGTCGCTGTAATTCTGATTGCGCGAGGCGAGAAGCAATCCGGGGGGGAACCCAACATTCGTTCGTCTGGCTCCCCCGGCCGGGCTTGGCCACACCGGACTGGTTGTTACAACCTTGTGTCTGAATGTGGAATGTACCTGGCCTACATACATGAGCTTTACGTAGCTCAGTTGGACCACACTTGATTTTGTGCGGCGTGCTCAACAGCAGTTTGTACTGCTTTGCGAGTTTCTTTCTCGCGCACCGGGTAGTAGACATGAGGCCTTGTCTGTTGGAACTGGCTGTCATTTTCTCTTCTTTTTCTGCTGTAACGGGCGGGCTAAACTCGTAGATCACGCGGAGGCTGCGCACTCTCTGCTGTCTTGCGTTTGTGGGACACGTCTGAGAGACCACGGTCGATCTACTCGCTGTGCGAGTAACACGCGACTGTCCCAAACTCTTGTCGCCTTGGCGTTTGTCGCGCTCACCGGTGGCTCTTGCCACTGTTTTCCGCGCCTCAACGCCTTTCGCGACGTTTTTGGTGGATGGCGAAAACGCGCGCGTGCGTGTGACCAACATCCTCGAAATCTAACGTTCCTCTATTTCTGTGTTCGCCGATTCGTCTTACGTCGGTTGTTGTCTGGCAATGCCGCCGTCACCACCGCTGCTGCTGTTGGCACTGTCGTCTGTTTTCTCCCACCCACGTACTTCTCCAGGCGACCGTGTCTGTGATCCCCGCCGCTTCGTCGCTGATCCTCAAGGCTCTCAACGAGCCCGAACGCGACCGCAAGAAGGTGCGTCATGCGCCTGTCCGCTTCCGCCGTCGTGTTGTGTCGATGAGAGCTTCGTTTGTAGATGGGGAGCCATTTTGTGGTTATCCAACCGTCCGAGATGAACATGTTTGGGCACTTTGCAACCAAAAATGAGCAGCACCAATACGAGTTTTGATGACGGCGGTTCGTGGTCATCCAACAACCGGATGGGCACTTGTTACGTATTAGTGGATAGTACCATAATTGCCTCAAGAAGGCATTTTGGAAGATTTAGTTCCTCGGATGTAGAGCGGACCTAGGAACGTTCCTGACTTGGGCTGACGAACGGTTGAATGTTTGACGTACTCAGACCTTCAATGTTGTTTCACGACAAGCGTACAAGAAGGCAATGGAGAGAACGCCCGCAAGCGATGCCCGCCGCGCCTTGATTTCTCTCGCGCGTGTGGGGGTCGCTGCAATTCTGATTGCGTGAGGCGAGAAGCAATCCAGGGGGGAACCTAACATTCGTTCGTCTGGCTCCCCCGGCCGGGCTTGGCCACACCGGACTGGTTTTTACAACCCTGTGTCTGAATGTGGAATGTACCTGGCCTACATATCCTACAACGTTGTTCACCAGATTGTACTTTGTTTGGTTGTTTTTTGCCACCCTTGTCCCCGTCGCGTCGTGCCCATTTCGCTGTCGCTGATCTTGTGGCGACCCTAGCAGATGGCCCCTCCCTCCGCCTAACGCGTGTGGGGTGCTTGCGTGGTTCATGTTGTGTTGATTTGACAGGTGAAGAACATCAAGCACGATGGCAACGTCACCCTCGACCAGGTGATCGAGATCGCCCGCGTCATGCGCGAGAGGTCCATGGCGCGCACGCTCGCCGGAACCGTCAAGGAAATGCTCGGCACCTGCAACTCCGTCGGCTGCACCGTCAACGGACAGTCTCCCCGCGACATCCAGGTAATTTTTTTTTTTCGTCGGTCGTGGTGACATTCGTACGACACCTTACCGAACGAAAACACGGTCATGAAAGGCCTTGTTGTGCGTCGTCGTGCCTTCTTTTCTGATAGTTGTTTCAAGCCATCCCATTCATCACTCCATAAGGCAAGTACACAGTTCAATTCGTCGCCCCATTTCATGTTCGTCAACATGTGGCGTTACTTTTGTTGACGCGAACGGTGATACCAGAGTGTGTCCGGTCGACGCTCGACCCACGAAGGGGTGTCGCCTTTCATCAACTGACCAAACCCCCCTCATCTCTCCCTCTGTCGTTCCCGCGCCGTGTGTGTTCGCTGTCGCCGGCCATCCTCACCTCTTCATTATTTTTGGGATGTGCGTGGCCCACCTGCTGCTCCCTGGATGCTCGTTGAATTTGGGGCGCGTACGTCTGTTGTTGACCCGCTCCGGCGGGACTGTCAAAATCTAAATCGGATTCGGGCGTTTGGAAACACAGAGTGGCATCAGCGAGGGAGAGATTGTCATCCCCGACGAGTAGACTGGGTTTCGCTTTTTCTGTGTTGCGACATGGTTTGATTTCGGAGAGAGGGGTGTCTTGTCTCGCTTGAAACCTTCACCTTTTCGCGTGGGAATAAAAAGAGCTTAAAAAACATGTTCTGGCTTGTGGCCGGATGGTTTGCTGCGCTCGGGCTTTTTTGTCGACGCAAGAAGTGACGCATCTGGTGCGGGGGTTGCCATCTGGACCATCGTTCGTCCGCCCGTTTGCCATCACATTATTTTGGCCAAACGGTTGGGTTGCTTGACGATGGGCAGCAAATGTTGCACTGCGTGTGTACTTTGAATGCCCAGCGTTGCGGACGGGTCAATGTGCAAGTCACAGATGGCATGCACTACTGGTTCTTTCAGCTAGGCGGCCGCTTGACCGTACCTACCTCGACAGCTACAAGAGCAACAGCAGCAGCACCACACTGTCCCCCACTCAATCAATATTCATGCTGCTGTTGCGGAGTCTATCTCGCCCCGCGTAGGAAATGACAGCCTGAAACATGTCCAACCGTGTCGCGAGACCTGGACGTCCAAGTTAGCCCTCCCTGTGCACTGAGTTTGCGAGGCCCCGAGTTGGCCGAGTGCGGCGAGCCATCCCCCTTGAGTCTCAAAAGGAAACCCGATAATCGGGCATGGGCGTTACACACAGACGGACGTTCATCTCGCGCCCCGAGCCCAACGGAGCATCCGTCTGCATTTTTTGTGGCCTTCGAAGATGCCGTCGGGAGACAGTATCGGGGCCCCTGACTCGAACGAGAAAAGTCCCCGTTCACTTCCATGTCAACAGTTGGCCTTCGGCCTAAAACTGCAGCCATTCTTCTGTCCTTTCGCTTGCACGTCAGCACGTTCGCACGTTGTCACATCATCTTCTCTTGAGACGAGGTCTCGGCATCGTTCTGACACGAAGGTGCGTCAGGAAGGACATCGACTTCGTATTCGTCGGGTGCTCGACGCAGGATTGCACCACCCGTGGGCAGGGCCTACGGCAGCATTCGAACGCGAAGTCACCTGAAGAGAAAAAAGCTATGCAAAACCGCATCAAATTGCCCATCAAGCCGACGAAGTCTGGGTGATGGTCTTTCTTTTGCTTCAACCAGCCGCCGTCCCCCTAATCCGGAGGTTTCGCGAACGGAACCCTTTCGTCCGCCGGTGCTGGTGAATGAAAGACTACCTGCCCCTGTAAACATCTGAAACCCATCCGGGCACAGAACACTCGCACGCTGGCCAGGCGGTCTCGGCTGGACCTAACAATAACATTTCATCGTCGTTACAGCAACTGCTGTCCCATGATCGCTTTCACCCGCACAGCTGGCCGCACGAAGTAAGTTGTAAATATATCGGCAGTCATCGTCGCTTGAGGCACCATAGGTGTACTTGGCCTCTTAGGTCGTCCAAGCCATCGTTCTCCACGAAGAGATCTCGCATTTGCACCTTTGATTGTAGAAGCATGCGGAGTGTGGGTTAGCGTACGTGCGTTCTGTGAGATGCATGCGTGAAAGGAGCGCAGGGGGCATGCCAGCACCGGTAAGTGGTATTTTCTACATGGTGTGAAAAGGGGACATCTTGGTACACGCTTGAAGAGACGGTTGCAGTATACCCTTGTCTCTTTCCATCGCCTTTCAACAAAGCACTCGCACGCTTGAGATGCCTGGTGCACAAGAGCATCGTACCGGCTGCGTGCATCATGAAGTGGGGGACGACATGTGTACGTAGTCTACAACTTCGCGTTCACATCTCATACCGCCACATCAACACCCCCATCCCTCCCCGTCGTCTTGGGACACGGGTAAGACTCCAGAAACTGCACACCCCAGGCCAGATAGCCCTCACCGTCTTGATCCGCGTCGCGACGAACCCTTTCTCCTTGGCCAACTCGAAGAACTTCATGTCCAGCTCTGCCTTCTCGGGATCGTGGTGGGAGAAGCTCACCCACACCGTCGCCGCCGCCGCCGCCGCCGCCGCCGCGGTCGCCGTGCTTCCCGACCCTCTCCCGAGCAGGCAGCGGTCGCAAGTCTCGAGCAGCTGCGCGTGCTGCGACCGGTTGAAGAGAAGATCGGCCATGATCACCACGTCGAACCCCTCCCCATCCCCGCCCCCGCCTCCTATCGGCCTCGCACGATGGCAACTCCTCGGGCTTCCTTCTCCTTGCCCATGCACCGACGCAACCTCCTCCTCTGTACCCGTATCTTGTACCGGCGCCCCGGCGGCGGCGCCACCAAGGTTTGCGTTTTTCTCTCGACCGCTGTCGGCGGCGCCGCTACCGAGGCTTGCGTTCTTCTCTCCATCACTACTGCTGCCGCCGCCGTTTTCGTGGCGTAATGATAACGAGCTCCCTGTCCGCAGAGGGACGAGGAGGTCCTCCACCGCCTGCCCCCACACGTGCCCGACGGCGTGGAGGGTGCCTTCGGGCACGAACTCTGGCTGGACTCGGTCGATGTTGATCTGGATGGGGACCATCAGGGCGGCGTCGGTGGACGTTGCGTAGTCGGAGATGACGACCTTGGTGGCACCTTTCTGCGGGAAGGAGCAAGAGAAGTTGGTACGTGAAGACGAGAGGCGGGACAACGGGGAGAGGGGGGCCGGGGGGGTGGGGGGGGGGGGGGAGGGAGCATAATTTTTGGGAGGGGAAGCCTGTGGTCAAACGAAATGAGAAGTAACATACGGCACACGTGCGGTCCGCTCTACGGCCGGCTGGGCACCGAACCTTTGCTGTTGCAGAGAGCAGGGGTCGATCCAAAATACGTCTGTACAGACAGAAATAATCATGCTCGCTCAAACCTGTGGCATGCACACACACGAAGAGAAACACACACAGCATGAGCGTATACGCCCGCGTTTCAACGCACTTTCGGGAACAAGTAAACAAGTCCAGATATACGCAGGCACCGGGATAGTGCCGCGACTTCCTGCGGGCGCATCAAGGCAAAGCGCAACACAAGCGTTTTGTCCACTCTCCTCACCAGGGCACAGATGAGCGCTGGCAGTCCTGCCCCAGCCCCGAGCTCGAGAACTCTCTTGCCCCGGACGTCAAATTCATCTTTGTCCACCATGTCTTAGTGCGCGTGCGTGTCGATCGGGTACAGCGCGTCGTCGTAAAACACACGCGCGCATCGGTCGGCAAGCGGACGAGACGACGACGGACGATGGTGTGTGGGAAGTGTTTACCACTTTCGCGGTGTTAAAAATTGTACGTTGAGTTGATCAGGGTGATGTTGGAGAGAGTTCCACGCAACGCGCCCGCGCCATTTAATCGACCCCGGCGCACGAGGAGAAAACAAGGATCGGTGTGCTCGGGATCCTGCGAAGCGCGCGGCACCCCAATACAAAGGCCAAAACTAAAGCCGTCTGTTATGCAGTTGCCGTTGGATGACGTAGAAAGCAGGGGTATTGCAACGGTAGTGGGCGCTCCAACAGCCGGAACTCCAGAGGTGGTGCCTTCTGCACACCTGCTGCGAGGCGGAGCTCGTGCGCTCAGAAACGACGTCTACAGTTATCACCCGCACTTGAGCACTTGACAGTTAAGAAATTGATGTAGCATCGTCGAAGAACTCAAAACACAAGAACTTGAGCACCATTCATTTGAGAGGCCGGTTAAGAACCCAAAACCTATGTATTGTGGCCATTTCTAGCATACCTAATCCTAGGAACTAAGAACCACAGCGTGGCCAGCACCTAAATAGAGGGTCGTAAGTGCGGGGGCTAGCCGCAGTGCACCGATAGCCCCCATTATGTACTTCTATGTCTTCATACATACCTGCGAGAAGGAGAGCGGCGTTCCACAGGCGGTGCCCCCACAGGCTGTGGCGAGAGTTAACCAGGGAGAGTTTCAGGGTCGACGGCCGTGGCGGCAGTGCGCCCCTCCCCTCCGCCGACCCCTTCGGCGGTGTTCGGGTGTACTCCTCTTCTACTAGCGCCGGGCCCGTTTCTTCTCCTCCAGAGTCGTCGTCGTCACTGAGTCGGGAGAATTTGCGGGGTTTGATTTGTTGACAGGTTGGAGGATGGGGGTTCGATCGATTGGTTGGCTGAACTGACGATGCTTCGTGTTCTTTGATCCTTCCCTGCCAGTCCGCTGCTGACTGCGTGTGTGTGTGTGTATTTCCAGCGGGTTCGATGATTCGGCTGGGCTCTCTGCAAAAACGCTCTCGCCGTCGCAATGGACGAGTGTTTTTTTGTTAACGGTCGATGTGCCGTAAACAGCATGTGTCGGCGTGCCTGCTGTCTACCGATTTGTAGCCCGTTGCGGGCACAGGTGGACGTCCACACCCCTTCCCCACAATGTCGGATGCCCTCGCCCCCTTGTGGAGGTCGAACACCTTGGAGAAGACAACCAAGGCCTCGAACTTCGAGGTATTTTTGAGGCCTTGGTTGTTTTATCCAAGGTGTTTGACCTTGTCAAGGTCTCCACAAGGGGACGAGCGCATCCGACATTGTGGAGAAGGGGGGTCGACCTCCACCTGTGGCCGGCGGCAAATGGACAACGATGGCGGCGATGAACAACGATATCTGTAGACCAAATATGCCTTTACAACAGAGAAAAGATTGATGTTGCCATGCAATGCGCCCAACCTGCGTGATTGGTTCTCGTTTCTCCATTGGAAAGACGGCAACTGCGCCTGCAGTAGTAGTAGATCATCCCCTGTCTCAAGAACATGAGACATTTACAGACTGCTGTCTTTGTGAAGTGTTGTATACGGCCCACTTACTTACATGAAGAGTCGAAACTACCAGGGTGTCGACATCATATTTTTCTCATTATACACGTAACTTTGCGTCGTCATGCGCATTCGCAACAGAAGCAAGTGCATATATCGAATTATTGGACTAATACTGCTGTTGTGAAGTATCCAAAGACAAGATGGATGAGACTCCGCAAACCGAGAATTTGAATACTTGCTACAAGGATGTTTCTTCGTGCATGCTTTCAAGTTTACATAGTTTGGTGTACAAGCGCAGTTTATACCTTGCGCTAGCGCCGTCAAAAAGCCCTCCGAAGCCATCTTGATCTTCCTCCGCCATGAGACTCGCCAAGTCTGTCGATGTCTAGCCAAAGGGCGCTGCGGCTGGCGTGGCGTAATCAATGGCTACGCATCTTATGAGGATACACGGCGCCCCGGATACCCTCCCTCCCTCCCCTCCAGTCGGTACCCTGCGTTTGCGTCCCCCCCTCCTGCCTTTCCTTGCGTTTGCGTCGTGCGTCTTGGGCCGCCTCCATCTCATCACCATTGCTGCCCCTCTCCTTGGCGATTCCGGATCACAGCGCAACAACCACACCGAGATTGCGCAGAGATTACCCTTTTCCGCTGGGCTTCGTGTCTGCGTTGGACTGGTGTATCTGTTGTAGACTTTTGCCAGAGGGTGTGTCCGGTGTCTCAATTAAAAGGGAAACGGTCGACTTTCTTGAACAATGACCAACCCCCGCGGGCGGCCTAGGGGCAGGCCGAAAGGCAGCACCAACAAGAAGGCCGCGACCGCCGCGGGCAAGGCGAAGCAGCAGCACCAGCAGCACCATTTGTCGCCATCCGTGCAGGCGCAGGAGAGGCTGGCCGACTTCGTGGACCTCGCGGTCGTCCCGAGAGAGGCTGCAAAGAAGGCCACGTCCAGGCTGAACGGGAGCACGCCCTCCCGTGACGCGACTGCTCCTTCCTCCAACGGCAAGAAGGGCAGGGGAAGGCCTCGCTCCATCTTCCCCTCCCCCGACAACAAGGCGGACGGTGGCGGTGGCGGCAGCAGCAGCAACAGCTCCAAGAAGCGTAAGGCTCGCGACACTGACGAGAGTAGCGAGGAGACATCTGCTGCTACCGGCGGCAGCAACAAGTCTCACAAGAAGGCGGCCAAGAAGAAGCATGGCCCGAGCCCCAGCCGAGGCGGGACCGGCTCGTACCCAAAGAGGATCAGGTGCGTGAGAGAGAGAGAGGTGTACCACAGGATAGAAGACGGGGGCTGCGGGTGGGGGGGGATTGCAACTGAACAGCAGGTTTCAATGATAATAGTAGTTCTTGCCTCGTGCGTGCTCCACTTACGTGTGCTGGTCAAGCACAGCGGTATCGCTAGGCAGTCACCGCACCCACCACGCACCCTTCCCTTTGGGGATGCCTGCCACCACAGTAGTACAGCTGGGGCCTGTTGTACTCGGCCTGGTTGCACCTTGTCCTCTCAGTTGTGACGACGCCGTTGCTGTTACGCGCTCTTTCAAAACCAATGCTATGCTTTACACCTGAAATTCTCCGCCCTTGGGAACATTTTAACATTTACTGATTGCACCGCCCGTCCGATTCAAAATTTGAACAATAGGAACGCCCCGGACGTCTTCAAGGCCGGGCCGTCGACCAAACCGATGTCGCCTTCCAAGCCCACGGCGACGACTCCCGCCGGCGGGAAGTCCACCAGCAAGAAAAAGGCCGCCGCTGCCGCAGCAGCGGTGCCAAAGTCTAAGACCAAGTCGCCGGCCGCCAAGAAGAAACCGGCCAAGCCCGCCCCGCCGCCCCGGCCGCCGCCGCCGCCGCCGCCGTACCGGTTCGACTACAAGGGCTGGCCAGCGATCGGCGGGAGAGAGCTTCTCGCCGCGGGGATGTTCCTCTACGTTTCTGCGCCCATGATGAAGTGAGTGGGAACGAAAACAGAACGCAAGCAGCATCGTCGCGCGTGGCAGTCGCGAGCGCGTTCTGGCCCGCAGAAGTGACGGCGTTCCGTTCTGTATAAAGCTACAAGCACTCGTCAATGTTGCCACCCATGCTTTCCTTGTATGTTTGAACATGCAAGCTATTTGTTTCCGTGTGTTTGCCTTTTTTATGGTGCGGCTTGTGTTTGCTCCTATGAATCCATTGCTAATCTGTCTCAGACTCTTTTCTATGATAGAGATGGTTTCGTTGTGTCATATTAAGAGAAAAAAAGAAAAAAAAAGAAAAAAAAAGGTCTACGTGTCCATTGACACCTCAATTTTGGTGCTTGCTGTGGGTTCGTAGGTTGCTTGCTTTTGGGCCCTTCCACCCGCCATCCCAGATGCGCATCAAGCAACAAGTGCACACACCACGTCTCCTTTGGCCATAGGTACAGCAGAGTACCCGCCGCCGCCGCTTCAATCACGCGTGTTCCTTTTTTTTTTCTTGTCAGGTTCGGACGTGGGTTTGAAGTTAAGATGCAGGCTCTGGAGGAGGCCCTCTCGTCCGACAAGCCGGAAGAGAACGAGCTGCTGTCTCTGGTGCACTCGCGCCTTCTCTGCACCGGCCGCGAGCTCAAGGCGCTCAAGCCAGGAGAGCTGAAGTACCCGTACAGGTGGGGAGCATAAAATGGACGTGTGCCAAAATATTTTGATTTCGTTTTTCTCGTCCTTCGCTGCTGTGTCTCGCCTGCTCTCTATTATATGTATGGTCCACCTTGGATTCCAATCGCTCTTCTACTCTATACCGAAACAACCTCCCCGGTTTAGTTCGACCACTTTGATAACGTGTTGTTGTTTCCTTCTCGTCGCACGCCTACCGCGGGTGCTGTTGGAGCGATCGGCGGGTGCACGTTGTCGTCTTACCGACGTGAACCGGACGTGTCGCATTGTCGTGTATATTGGCTTGTGGCGGGTACACATCATGTGTGCACATGCGTGTTTTTTCCGGTTGGTCGCGAAGAGTGTTGGGGGACAACGGAAAAAATTATGTGGAGAGCTGCGGGCGGCTTTTGTAGGCAATCGTTACTTGTTGAAAACTTTGAACCCTTCCAAGCAAGATTTCAAGACGCGCCAACATAACGACCCCCCCCTCCTTTTTATCTTGTTACGCCTACTCCCGCCTGTCGTTTTCACACACGCGAAATGAATGCCACGCTGCGGTCACGCCCACACGCCGTCGTCGCACTATTGAATACGATGCCGAACCTACATCTTTACCAATCAGCTGGTGGGCGGAGCGGCTGCAGAAGAAGCTGTCTGACTGGTACCGTCGACGCGCGGTCCTGCGCGAGCTTATCTTCGAGGCGGAGAGGTCCGACGACGATGAGGGGGGAATGTTACCTGCGGGGGCGGGGGGCTCGGCGGCTGGGAAAAAAGGGCAGAAGAAGGCGGCCGTGACCGTGACCAAGGGTTTGGGGGAGGCGGTAGGAGGAGGAGGAGGAGGAGGAGGAGGAGGTGGTGGCGGCGGCGGCGGGCCCACTGCCGCATCCGGCGGTCTGCAGCAGGCGGCAGTTGTTGTTAGTGCCGCAGGGGGAGGGGGAGAGGCGGGAGGCGGGTTGCCAAAGGGAAGGAGCGTGAGTGCGATGGACGTGGAGGGGGCTGTTGGAGCGGCGGAAGACACGGAGGCGGGGGCGGCCGTCGGGAGCGAAGCAGAGGTCAAGGCGAACGGCAGCGGTGCGGGGATGCGGGGGAATGATGATGATGCTGCCGGTTTCGACGGACGCAAGCAGCGGGATGCGGGAGGTGGGGTGGAGGAGACGAAGGGCGGAGAAGAATTATCGTCGAGGGCGGTAGTGGCGACCAAGGCGGCGGGGGCGAGAGGAGTGCGGGGGAAGACTAGTAAGTCCAAGGAGGAACCTGCTGCCGAGATTTCCAAGGTACGATTCTACCCCCCTGTGCATATTTTTTGGAGTCGTTTTTGTTTTGTTTGCGACTTCTGGTTTAGGTCAGTTCTTGTAGCGGCAACCCGAACGGCTTGTCGTGTGTCTCATTGCATTTTTTATTGCATTGAACCCTTAACAAGTCCGCCTCTCCCTGTGAATGGAGGTTTAAAGGGGGTTGGTCAGAGGTGAGGTGACTCCCTCTTAAGAACCGCCCACTCTGCCCGAAGCTTGTTGCTTGCTTCACCTCTGGGGAAACCGAACGGAAGCAAAGTGAATTGGGTTTCGAGGTCTCGCATGTGGAAAATATTGGACCTGTGGTTTTGTTAGCTGTCATGCTCTCAAGGGAGGGTCGCCTCTCTCAGTAAAAATCCCGGTGATGTGATAAAGCTCACCAAGAAACGACGCACACGTGGGACAGCTCATGAGCTAGCTCACCCATGTCTTACACAGACTACCATGGAGCAATATTCACACCAGATCACCCATGTCCTACCGATCATAAGGGGCATGATGCCCTTCAAAAGAGCCAGCAAACCCTGTAGGGATCTGACCTGTCCTACGCGTAAAATAGTTCCGATTATTTATTTGTTGGCGATCTCTCGCACGAACAGCACGGCGGTTTTCGTTTGCCCCTCTTGCGGTCGTGGATGTCGTATCACGGTCGTTGGGTGATGTCGTTTTCACCTCCCCCGCCCCAAGCTGCTGGGTTGAAAAGGCGAGAAGTGATATCGGTAGGATAGATAAGACTGGGGATGACATTTTTGAGCCACCTTTGGCAAAGTAGGAAGGAGCGATTGGCCATCGGTGATCGGTCCTGTGGGAACAATGCTCGGTCCTCCCGAGGACGCCTGGTCAATGATCTAACCGCTAAGGCATGCAAAACATAAGAGTACGCCCCCCCCCCCCCCCCCCCCCCCCTAAAAAGCGGGTTCGCCAAACCATGGCAAGGGGGGCAACACCCGGGGACCCTGGCTGAAATGGGGGAATGGCTTTTCCAAGGGGGGGGGGACAAAGACCCCCCGCGCCGCCCCCTCCCCGGGGGTTAACAAAGGGCTTTGAAGGGGTTCCGTCCTTTTTTTTTCCCCCGCCCTTTTTTCCCCCGGAACTTTTGGTTTATTGTGCCGCCGCCGCCGCCGCCCAAAAAAGGGAAAAAAAAAGGGGGCCTCATTTTCCCCTCTGGGTGTTTTTTCCCCACCCGGTTTCCAAAACCTCAAGGACGAATTAATTTTGCTGGGGGAACCTCACCCAACCCTTCTCTTTGCCCAAGCCAAAAACAAAATTAGTAAACCCCCCCCCCCCCCCCGGGGCTCCAAAAAAATAAATACCCCCCCCC